GAGGCCATATGCAAATTAGATGGGTCAATTTAAATCTGCCCGAACTTTGGTCCATCCATATTATTTCCATATTTCCAAAATAAAAAATGTATATTTACGTCAAACTGCAATGACGAAGAGGAGAGCAAAAGTCTCTGCCAACATTATATCGTCACAGAATGGCTGAAGGTCCTTCCTATTGGTTTGTGGATCACATTCAGAGGCTCTTTGTGGATGCTCTGGCAGGAGGAGGAGCTGTGGAGATGGATGAGCCATAAGTCTTCAGATGTGAAGTGAGGAGTTGATTTATATGTGAAGGTGGGGTTTAAGTGATGGATAGTCCAAACCTAGAGTGGGACAGAACGGGAAAGCACAACGATCATGTCTAGTCTAGATTTCCCAAACTCTCAAATGAATATAAACTCACTCCACATGGTGATGACAGAAGCGAGACGTTGAACTAGTGCATCGAAGCCTACGACCATCAGCATCCCTCCAAAACCCACGCAGACACAAGAAAACATGTAAATTCCACACAAGCTTTGGAGTTCCACTATAAAGAGGCTGAGTGCATTTCAACAGTATTCTTAAAACACGTGACGGTCATGTTGAGCACTGCTTTGGGGTCTCAGGAAGAATTGTGCTGTTTATCAGCTTTAAACATGTATGAATCACAGAATGCTATTGCTCAATGCAGCAGCTCGAGTCCTGACTAGAACCAGGAAGTACGACCACATTAGTCCTGACTAGAACCAGGAAGTACGACCACATTAGTCCTGACTAGAACCAGGAAGTACGACCACATTAGTCCAGTCCTCAGGTCTCTGCACTGGCTTCCTGTGGCTCAGAGAATAGACTTTAAAACAGCTCTGCTTGTTACAAGTCTCTCCATGGCCTCGCACCAAAATATATTAGTGACATGTTAGTCCCATATGAACCAGCCCGGACTCTGAGGAGCACAGGGACTGGACTCCTGCTGGGACTCTGAGGAGCACAGGGACTGGACTCCTGCTGGGACTCTGAGGAGCACAGGGACTGGACTCCTGCTGGGACTCTGAAGAGCACAGGGACTGGACTCCTGCTGGGACTCTGAAGAGCACAGGGACTGGACTCCTGCTGGGACTCTGAGGAGCACAGGGACTGGACTCCTGCTGGGACTCTGAGGAGCACAGGGACTGGACTCCTGCTGGGACTCTGAGGAGCACAGGGACTGGACTCCTGCTGGGACTCTGAGGAGCACAGGGACTGGACTCCTGTTAGTGCCCAGAGTCAGAACTAAACATGGGGAGGCTGCTTTTCAGATTCATGCTGCTAAAATCTGGAACAATCTTCCTGAAGATGTGAGACAGGCCTCCTCTCTGACAATGTTTAAAACCAGGTTAAAAACAGTTCTGTTTAGCTGTGCTACAACTGAGGGATTTTATATTTTTATCTTCCTTTTTAATGTTCTGTGATTATTTATCAGCATTATTTTAATGCTATCTTGTTCAGCACTTTGAGTTGCCTTGTGTATGAATTGAGCTATACAAAAAAACTTGCCTTACCTCATAAAACAACAATTAAACATGATGTCTCACAGCACACAAATCAGTCGAAGTTAGTGTGAATTTAAAGACTTTGAATCCCACTTCCATCCATGATATCTCAGTGAATAAAACATGTTATAAATCTGGTCGAGTGCTCTCACTTTTACAAGGGACCGGCCCGTGCTTATCTCTGTGTCCTTGGTAAGACCTCGGATCGTAATAAACTCCCTCTGACCTGATAGATATCTGCACCCGCAGCTGCAGCACCCAGAGTCTACCTCCCCCAGCATTGGCCCTCCTCTCCACAGACCCACCCCTCGCTCATGCATGAAGCTAACAGAGTACAGGGAAAATCAACTCACAAACAAGGTCGGCCAATGGCGAGTCGTCCTCTTTGCATACACAGAGCAGGCACATCCATCTGAATCTCTAAGCAGCCACTGTGAAAGCCATTATACGCCCACATCATAAACATAACATAAGTACCATAAGCAATAGACTCTGCCTGCATGGTCAAATAAATAAATTCACCTTCAATAAATACAATAATTGGATTGTATAAGTGGTTTTTTTTCATATACTCCTGGATAGCTTTTTTATGACCACTCTGGTTTCCTCCATCACCCAAAACATGCTGCAGAATAAATCTGGTGAGTCATTGAAGAAGATGAGCCAAGTCTGGGATCGTGTCATAAATTCCGACAGAAGACATGTTTTATTGTCGATGGTAGAGACAGCACGAACAAAGCACACGATCACAGATATAAGAGAATGCAAGTGTATTATACAGAGCGGAGGCATGGAGACCTCCAATCAGCAGCTTCCACGGTGTGCTTGTAGCTTGGCCTTCAGATAGACAAAACAAGGGAAAAGTACTGGCTTCTGCACATTGATAGATTGATGAGTTTAACTTTAACAAAAGTTGCTTAAAAGTGTTATGAAATCTCACATTCCCCCCTCTGGTCATACATTCACGTGTGACCATCAGGATCGATAAACAGCAACATAACATCATAACTCAATACTTCAAAACTCGGTACTTCACTCGGTACTTCAAAAAACTCAGAACTCGGAATACTTCAAAAACTCAGAAAACTCATAAAACATGTTCAGATCTTTCATAAAACTTGTCAACAATCTTCAGTAAAATACCAAACTTCATCAGTCGATGGTGGTTCCAGATATTGCTTTGAAAACAGTCTCTCCCATTTCTCCGTGTTGGCTTCTTCAGGCTGCATTTGTGTTGAGCCATGAATTCTTCTGTGACGTGTCTTTCAATCACACGTTTCAGCTTTAGTGTCCAGATTCAGCAATCCAATTCAGTCCAAATTATGTCCAAATTCAGAAATCCAGATTGTTCCAAATTATGTCCTTGCAAAAGAGGACGCTGGTGTTGTCCATGTCTCAGCAGCTCACAGCAGGCCTGAGTGGAATCAGGGGCTGTGCAGATAGTCCATGTGCTGGTCCAGATGCATTGTTTCTCTTGAGGTTTTTCAGTTTTGGCTTAAAAAAAAAACACTTTTTGTGTAAAAAAAAGTAGTCTTCTGTTCTCTAGATGTTACAGACAATGCCCGCATCCTTCCACCACCTGAAGAAGATGACAAAGTCTGGGATCGCGTCTTAAATTCCGACAGAAGACATGTTTTATTGTCGATGGTAGAGACAGCACGAACAAAGCACACGATCACAGATACAAGAGAATGCAAGTGTATTATACAGAGCGGAGGCATGGAGACCTCCAATCAGCAGCTTCCACGGTGTGCTTGTAGCTTGGCCTTCAGATAGACACAACAAGGGAAAAGTACTGGCTTCTGCACATTGATAGAATGATGAGTGTAACTTTAACAAAAGTTGCTTCAAAGTGTTATGAAATCTCACAGTTGTGTACAATAATACTGTTTTGAACAATACCTGATGCTTCAGAGACAGATTCTGAAAGCCGAATACTTTTTGGAGGGACCACTTCCAGATCCTGAAATAAATGGGGGGGATTATGCTTTAGTCTGCAAGCAATAGTTTGACTACAGGACAAATTAATCAACTCTCACCTGTTTTCCTTTTTGCTTTCTCCGTCTTTTTCTTTCCTGCAATCTGGTTTCCTTAGACCTTGATGATGTAATGACAACATTAATTTACTATGAAAACATTCAGTTGGTCTGTTGACCGTGAGTATTTAAAAGGATCTGATTCAAAAGTGTGATCATGAGGGCACTTACGGCATGGGGAAGTTCTGTAGGAGGACAAGACACCACCATCTCCTAATTTGCAGCATGTTTTCCTTTGAAAAAAGAAAGGAAGATTCAAATATGTGTTCAGGAATGATAAGTTGTATACTAAGCGTAATGTGTCACAATTTTCACATACCTCTCTGAAGTCACAATTGGCCCCCATTACAATGTACAGCGTGTACTGTAAGTCAAGAGGTACTGGTTAATGGACTAATGTCATGCATATTTCCTCAGGATACAATTTTCCAATACATATAATGTGTTTTTAATGTAGCAAGCAAACATTTTACAGATAACAGCAAAGATATAACATACTGAATAGGTCTTACCATCAAAACAAACACGCCACAGTTGTTGGAGCACCCTTGCTTTGTTAGGCCCTGAGGTGTGAACAAGGTCTTTTAATAAAAGAATGGCAAGAAAATAGTAAATGTTAGCAAATACTATGAAGTAACGTCTCACCTGAACATCATTCACGCCAAGCTCCCTCCAGGGGCCAGGAGACAGGCTGTGAGCAATGTGTCTGTGCAAAGAGTAAGCAGAAGTAACTAAAAGTAACTGAACTAAAATCAACTTTTGATTCAAATGCATAAACACTTTGAACAAACCCTCATCAGTGCATTTTGAAAGCGATATTTCACCATTGATCAGTATGCTGATGTGTCTCTATATTAGAGGGGAAAACAATAGACATAAAAGGCACAGCAATTAGGAAACACACGAGACAAAATATATGAAATAATTTTTCATTTAAAAAACAAATGTCATGTCATGGATGTTAACATGCAAGGAAGAGCAATATCAATTTCCTGCAGATTACTCAGATGTAAGTGTCAGATTGTCAAATGCTTATGAATGGTACCATTTCAAATATACTTAAATCACATATTAGCATATTGGCTTTATATTCTTACATTATTCTATATTCAACATGTAACAACGATTAAAAAAGTAACGTATTTTCCCCGCGAAAAGTATAATATTTCCCCCCCAAAAGTAATAACGATCACATAACATTTTCTCCCCAAAGGTATAATATTTTCCCAGTACGTCGTGCCGGATAAATATGAATCTAAAACCCAGAAAAGTCGTTTTTAAGTCCAGGTTTATATAATTTTCGCTGCAACAGTAATGCTAGGTATACTAGATTAGAAGTCCAACCGTGCAGAATGCAGATACATACAAGTATAACTTATTTTAAAATAAAAATAATGTTACCACCTTCCTTGTCGGTAACAAATATAGCAAAGTTGCACGTTAAAACAGAATGAAAAAACTGGCCTACAGTACCTCCATTCTGCCAGCTACTTCGCTCTTCTTCTCCTCTGCTTCTTCTCCTTCTCTGTCATACGCACAGTCCTCAATGCCTAGCTCCCGCTCGGCGGAGCTCAACGTGGGCGGAGTCAAACGTTTGACTCCGCCCACGTTGAGCTCCGCCCCGATCTGCGGACTGCAGTCAGGGGCTACTCGCCACACTCACACGGAGGTGCGCCTCCAACTGGATATTTAACGCAGTGCTTCTAGACCAAAACCATCCATACATAAAATAAATACAACAAATAAGTATTTCTCAGTTCAACTTATTACCCCAAATGATTGGAGAATATTAAGCAAAAAGTGACCATAACAATGATTATTAGTAGAGTAGAGCATTGCGGTCCTCTCGGCGCGGTCCTCCCAGTGCGGTCTTTCTAGTGCAGGCTCCGTCTCTGCAGTTTTACCTCACCCGACTCGACGTTGAACCTCTCCTCTGCGCATGCGCGGGTGTAGCGGTCCAGCAGCCTTCAGCTTTGATCCAAACGGCGCCTTTTCTCCGCGTTTACCCTGAAATAAGCCGCTTCATCACGAGCCTCTATGACCCAGCCAACATCACAGCCACACGGGAAGCAGTCACACTACACTCGGTAAGAAACCAGCCTTCTACACCCGGTTCTACGCGGCTAGCTTAACGCCGGAGCTGTCACGTATCCTTCCGCAGGACTCCTTTAAGAAACGCGTGCATTTTAGGTTAACTAGTCCCTGTCAGCTAACCGGCGATGAGCGCGTACCTCAACTAAACAATTCACAATTGAATCATCTGTGGAGGAAACTAGTGCATTTACTTTAAGCCGAATTTGAGAAAAGACATTCCATAGCACGAATCAGATTATTACACAAATGTCTTTGAACGTTTTTGTGCCGAGATCTATAGAATTGTATAGAATTACCTTAAAACTTAGACATTGTCGGTCAGTTGTTGCATGGTGTCCACTCCCGATATATTTGCATTGCGTGCCAACCGCGATGGAATAAACACAATTGATTAAGATTAGATTACATTTTGACTTTGTTTATGGATGCGCACACAGGGACTATTCCGATGTTATAACGCGACGTGGTTTTAATAAATGCTGTTTGTTACCACGTCATGCAGCATCAGTATATGTTATGTGTTTGTACAGTATTTCAGAGTAACATTGCGGGTTCATTGACTGGTGTTAGACAACGGTAATTGTGCATGTGCTAGTCTGGGATTAAGATGGATTACAGAGAGGAGAAGCATTGGGAGGCACGCAGCTTTCTCAGGCCACTTCTTTCCAACAACCCCTCTAAAATACTCGGAAATGTGGTGGTTGCTCTTGCGGTGATGGGAGGCCTGGAGCCCGGGTGTCCGCAGGTGTGTGTGGGGTACCATCAGCAGAGACCCCCGGGTGCAGAGTCAGAGTGAGGGGCGATAAGTGGGTCGTTATCTAGGGCGAACTTTAGACCCGGTAGAAAGTCAAACAGGAGAGAAGCAGCAGCGTCCACATGTGATGGTGATGTTTTGGTTCATTCCTGGTTCTGACATGGTTCAGTCACGTTATGTAAAGGTGACTTTTGATACAATAGATTTCTACCCGATACGGTTCCTTTTGTTCGTGTACCAAATATTGCGACACTAACAAAAAATCTAAATTATTGATGCATTTATAAGTGATTTATTCACGATTAATTATTATTTTAAAAGTCTATATTATATTTGAAACATACACCGTTTACAGGTGGACGATGATAACCCGCTCATTGAAGTCCATAGGGAAGTGCTCATTCATATATGAGCCAAATACTGTAAGGAGTGATCAATCAGAGGCCTTCATTCACAGGGAAACTGCAGCTTCCCTCAGCAACCGTTGTAGCAACACGTCTGCCCCTGTTAATCTAACACTGTCAGAACAATATGATATACATTATATACATACAATATATACAAACTGGCTCCAGCTCATGTTCTAATCAGCTTCTTCTGCAATAAGGCTGTGGTGATGTCACTCTGTCAGTCCACTTCTAGTTCCAGTCTTATACCGGTCCAGTCTCAGTCCCTGTCCTGTCCTGTCCCAGTCCCAGTCCAGTTCTGCTCCAGTCCTTTCCCAGTGCCTTTCCAGTCCTGGTCTGGTCCCACTCTCGCACAGAGACAGTATTGTGTTTGCAAAGAGGCTTCTGTCTCTGATCATGAGACACAGTGAAACCAATGCTTTTTATAGAACTCTTTATTGTTAGAAATAACAGTCCGCAACAGTCGACATTGAGAACCTCTGCATCTGGAGCCTGAGCAGAGACTGGAGCAGGACCAGGACCTGGAGAGGACCAACAGGGGTTAAGTGTAACATGTTGGAAAACAGCATTTAGACAGAAGGGGCGGGTGACATTTGGGTGAGTGCAGTGCAGCATGGGAGCTCACTGTAATCTGCACCCTCAGCACAAATGTAACTAATCCACTTTGAAGCAGCAGTTTGTATCATGCACTAAAGCTCAGGTCTGTAACTTTAGTCTCATAAATATCACATGTTTAAAGCTGGGGTCTGTAACTTTAGTCTCATAAATATTACATTTTTAAAGCTGGGGTCTGTAACTTTAGTCTCATGAATATCATTTGTGTAAAACTGGGGTCTGTAACTTTAGATTCATAATAAAACATCTGGCCTCTCTTTCGTGTCTTTCTGGTCTCTCCCATGTCTCTCTCTCTCTCTCACGTGTCTCTCTCCCCTCAGAGGTGAACCATGGCGGACCCGAACGCGCGTCCTCAGAGAAAGATGTCCACAGCAGGAGAGAGCGTTTACCGAGTCTTAGGACTAGAGAAGGGAGCGACAGCAGAGGACATCAAGAAGGCCTACAGGTGAGAGAGGGGGGAGGACATCAAGAAGGCCTACAGGTGAGAAAGGGGGGAGGGCATCAAGAAGGCCTACAGGGAAGACAGGAGGAGAGAGGGGAGAAAGGGGGGGAGGGAGAGAGAGAGAGGGGGGAGAGGACATCAAGAAGGCCTACAGGGAAGACAGGAGGAGAGAGGGGAGAGGACATCATGAAGGTCTACAGGTGAGAGAGGGGGAGAGGACATCATGAAGGCCTACAGGTGAGAGAGGGTTAGAGGACATCAAGATGGCCTACAGGTGAGAGAGGGGGAGAGGACATCGAGAGGACATCAAGATGGCCTACAGGTGAGAGAGGGGGAGAGGACATCAAGATGGCCTACAGGTGAGAAAGAGGAGAGGGAGAGAGAGGGGAGAGGACAACAAGAAGGCCTACAGGTGAGAAAGAGGAGAGGGAGAGAGAGGGGAGAGGACATCAAGATGGCCTACAGGTGAGAGAGGGGGAGAGGACATCAAGAAGGCCTACAGGTGAGAAAGAGGAGAGTGAGAGAAAGTGAGAGGACATCAAGAAGGCCTACAGGTGAGAAAGAGGAGAGTGAGAGAAAGGGAGAGGACATCAAGAAGGCCTACAGGTGAGAAAGAGGAGAGTGAGAGAAAGGGAGAGGACATCAAGAAGGCCTACAGGTGAGAAAGAGGAGAGTGAGAGAGAGGGGAGAGGACATCAAGAAGGCCTACAGGTGAGAGGGGAGACAATGTGCAACTTTGTAACAGTTTTTGTTTCATGCTGAAACAAACTAAAAGTAGAATCTGACTTTAAACACATCTCTCAGGTCTCTCCCTGCTCTCTCTCTCTCTGGTCTCTCTCTCTGCTCTCTCTATCTCTGCTCTCTCTTTTCTCTCTCTCTCTCTCTGGTCTCTCTTTCCTCTCTCTAGTTCTCTCTGCTCTTTCTCTCTAGTCACTCTGGTCTCTCTCTCTCTCTCTCTCTGAACTCTCTTTCCTCTCTAGTTCTCTCTGCTCTTTCTCTCTCTAGTGGCTCTCTGGTCTCTGCTCTCTCTCTACTCTCCCATTATAACTCCTTCCCCCACACCTGCTGCTGTTTAGGAAGCTCGCTCTGAAGTTCCACCCGGATAAGAACCCAGAGAACCCTGAGGCGGCGGACAAGTTCAAGGAGATCAACAACGCCAACTCCATCCTGAGCGACGAGAACAAGAGGCGCGTCTACGATGAGTACGGCTCCATGGGGCTGTACGTCTCCGAGCAGTTTGGAGAGGAGAGCGTCAAGTACTACTTCCTCATGTCCAAGTGCTGGTTCAAGGTGAGGACCACGGACAGAGACAGAAGGACATCGTTCACATTTATGGGCATTGGTCTCTGCTCCTTATGGGCCTGGTGGTGTGTTGTAACTGTGTGTGTGTCGGTGTAGGGCCTGGTGGTGTGTTGTAACTGTGTGTGTGTTGGTGTAGGGCCTGGTGGTGTGTTGTAACTGTGTGGGTCGGTGTAGGGCCTGGTGGTGTGTTGTAACTGTGTGTGTGTTGGTGTAGGGCCTGGTGGTGTGTTGTAACTGTGTGTGTGTTGGTGTAGGGCCTGGTGGTGTGTTGTAACTGTGTGTGTGTTGGTCTAGGGCCTGGTGGTGTGTTGTAACTGTGTGTGTCGGTGTAGGGCCTGGTGGTGTGTTGTAACTGTGTGTGTGTTGGTGTAGGGCCTGGTGGTGTGTTGTAACTGTGTGTGTCGGTGTAGGGCCTGGTGGTGTGTTGTAACTGTGTGTGTGTTGGTGTAGGGCCTGGTGGTGTGTTGTAACTGTGTGTGTGTTGGTGTAGGGCCTGGTGGTGTGTTGTAACTGTGTGTGTGTTGGTGTAGGGCCTGGTGGTGTGTTGTAACTGTGTGTGTGTTGGTGTAGGGCCTGGTGGTGTGTTGTAACTGTGTGTGTGTCTGTGTAGGGCCTGGTGGTCTGCTGCACGCTCTTCTCCTGCTGCTGCTGCTGCTGCTGCTGCTGTTTCTGCTGTGGGAAGTGTAAACCTCCGGAGGACGATGAGAGTTATCAGTACGTGGACCCCGAGGACTTGGAGGCTCAGATCAAAGCCGACCAGGACGGAGGAGGTAAGGCACCAGGACCACAACACACCACCACAAGTAGTTAGCCACCGACTGTGCAAGTTCTCCCACTTAAAAAGATGAGGGAGGCCTGTAGTTTCCATCATAGGTAAACCTCAACTATGAGAGACAAAATGAGAAAAACATCCAGAAAATAACATATTTTGGCCCATTCCTCCATGCAGATCTCCTCTAGAGCAGTGATGTTTTGAGCCTGTGGCTGGGCAACACAGACTTTCAACTCCCTCCAAAGATTTTCTAATGGGGTTGAGATCTGGAGACTGGCAAGGCCACTCCAGGACCTTGAAATACTTCTTACAAAGCCACTCCTTCGTTGCCGTGTATTTGGGATCATTGGGCCTCATTCACGAACGGTTCTTAGGAACAGATTTGTACGTAAATCCTACTTACGAGGTTTTTACGAAGAAAGTGGCATTCACGAATTTTTCTCGTAACCAGAATTTCTCTTGGGCAAGTACAAATCCTACGAGTCCTCAGGAGCACTCGTACGGATTCAGTGCCGACATGTTCACACGCCGGGGTTGTCCTCTTTGGGGAAGTTTAATAAAAATACAACATTCCAGTGATATGTCCGTCATATTGATGTATGTATTTATTTATTTAAATGTTAATGGTAATTTAGCCTATTTTTTAATTCATTTTGAAATGAAATGTGCCAACGCTTTATCAAATACATTGGAAATCATGCCGTGTATTACAGTAGTGATCCCATCCTATTTATAGGGGGCATTTCTTTATCCACGGGCCACAGAACAATGGAATATATACTGCTGCTGCAGGAGGCTGCGGGGTTCGCTCTGAGTCTCTGCACAGGTCTCTCCCATGGATCTTTACGGGTCTGCACTGGTCTCTCCCATGGATCTATACCAGGGATTAAAGAGTTCCGTTTAGGTGACGGATTTCCGTCAAATGAAATTGGTCTGGAAAAAAAAATATATATATATATAATGATAATAATACACACAATGAAATGATTGATTATAAAAATAATATATAGTAATACATATACGTGTGAATCTGTTATATATATATATCGATGTATAATAATAATTTGAATATATTGTATTTATATGTATATAGAAATAATAAGTAATATAATCACGAGTGGGCCTTGAACGTGCCGTGGCCACATGAGCGCTCCGCAAATGAATCAAGGCAATGGGACGTAGCTGAGCTCACGCGCAAATGAAGACGCGATGAAGTTAGCATGAAGGTAACACGGAGGTGAAAGTTTCTGGAAACTGCACGGAGCTTTTGAAAAGGAGAAGAGGAGGAAAATTGAATCTCGAACGGAGCAATAACAGCAGCAGATCCGCGGACTGGTAAGCTGGGCGCGTAATAGACGAAAGGTAATTAACGTTTACCAAACGCAATGCTAGTTTACTTAACGGAATGTACAAAACGGACTTTGCTGCAACTGGGAATGGGGACAAACATTTCTTGGTGAGCTTTTGATATTGTCTTGTTTGCGATCTTCTTGCAAAACTCAGCGTGATGTAAAAGAGCCAATCAACGAGTCATGGTGCGAAAAGATGAAAGTGGCCGGTGCTTGTGCGTACTTTGCCATAAAAAATTGCATGTATGGGAGAAAAGTTTTGATTCGCCACCAGCTCAAAACTGCGCACAAGGCAGCTGTTTGTGCACTTTCCCACACTTCATCTTTACCTGGTGCATCAGCAACAACTAACACTAGGCTTGCTATGGCTTTATCGCAGAAAATAACGTTCAGAATATCACTACCGCTGGTCGATTTATTTAAATCATTTGCAGTTGATGGAAGTGCACTGTGCACTCAAACTTGATAGGGAAACCTTTTTCTTAAATATTGACGTGTCCACAAACAAATGTGGACAGAATTTTATCGTCCTTTTGCAAAATTTTGACGAGGACAGAGCCAAAGTGTTGACGCTCCATATCGCCTCAAGTAAAGCTACTCTCACTAATATTCTGTCAAAAAGTTTACTCGTTGCTTGATCCACTTATATTTCACATCAAAATACACTGTATATCTTTGAAGAATTCATTTGAGCTGTATTCAATATACAATCTATTATACAATAATATATTGTAATTACAAAAATAACTTGGTCCTGCATATTACTGTGATTTACATGTGATAAATTTCCATGCAAAAATTTTCAGTCAAATTTTTTTTTTTTGCTTTAACCCCTGATCTATACGGATCTGCACTGGGGTCTCCCATGGATCTATACGGGTCTGCGCTGGTCTCTCCCATGGCTCTAGACGGGTCTGCACTGGTCTCTTCATACGGGTCCGTGCTGCACGCTCCTAGATCCAAACGGGTCCGCGCTGGTCTCTCCAGTCTGGTCTATGCGGTCTCTCTTCTTCAGTCAGGTCTCTCAGTCTATGCGGTCTCTCCTGTCCGCGCTGGTTTCTGTGTGCTGGTCACTCCAGTCTCTCCTCGGGTCTGCATTGGTCTCAGCGCTGGTCCGCGCTGGATCTCCTCCCAGGGTCCAAAATATTTTTAGATTAATCTCAAAACATTTTGAGATTCATTTTTAAATTAATACATAATATATTTTTTAATTTATCTCATAGCATTTTCAGATTAATCTCATCATATTTTTAGATTAATCTCATAATTTTGCTAGTTCGACTTTATTCTTATAATATTTCGACTTTTAAGTCAACATTTTATGACTTTAATCTCAGTCTGCAAAAGAAGAAAAAAGGGTGACTCTTTTGCTCCGTGTAACTCTTTGCTTTAGGCCTGTTGCTGTTTCCTCTGGCGTCTGCACACGGCCCTTCAGTCCCTTATATGGGCATTAGTGGGCGGTTACCTATGCTAAGTACCTATGCTAATGAAGCACCGGGCACGCGCGCTCTACTTACGAGGAGTTGGCATTCATCAATCTGAGAGAACAGCTGCGAACAATTCAGCGGCTTACGAGCGCGTTGATGAATCCCACGTAGGGTCTTCTTAGAAATCTACTGAAGAACGACTTGAGTAGAAATTTAAGAAGTTTCTTACGAAGTTATTCGTGAATGAGGCCCATTGTCGTTCTTTTCATCTTCAATGCCATTGCTGATGGAACAAGGCTTTTCATTCAAAATCTCACAATACATGGCCCCATTCATTCTCTCATCGGTCGTCCTGGTCCCTTTGCAGAAAAACAGCCCCAAACCATGTTTCACAGTAGGTATGGTGTTGGATGCAACTCAGCATTCTTTCTCTTCCAAACACGACGAGTTTTTACCAAAAGGTTCTATTTTGGTTTCATCTGATCTAATGACATTCTCCCAATCCTCTTCTGGATCATCCAAACGTTCTCTAGCAAACTTCAGACGGTTCTGGACATGTACTGGCTTAAGCAGGGGGCACGTCTGGCACTGCAGGATTTAAGTCCCTTGCGGCGTAGTGTGTTACTGATGGTAACCTTTGTTACTTTGGTCCCAGCTCTCTGCAGGTCATTCACTAGGTCTCCTCGTGTGGTTCTGGGATTTTTGCTCACCGTTCTTGTGATCATTTTGAACCCACGGGGTGAGATCTTGCGTGGTGCCCCACGATCGAGGGAGATTATCAGTGGTCTTGTATGTCTTCCATTTTAATAATTGCTCCCACAGTTGATTTCTTCACACCAAGCTGCTTACCTATTGCAGATCCAGTCTTCCCAGACTGGTGCAGGTCTGTGATAGCCGGAAATCTTAATTGTTTGTTATTGACCAATTACCTATTTTCCACCAAATACCTTTGCAAATATGGTGCTATGTGTACTGGGTGCAGCTCTGACTGCCACCCCAGAAATGGGTTAAGGGGAATGGATGGAAATGGCTGGACCTTTGCAAATACGTTCTATAATTAAAAAGCAGACAATGTGATTTTCTGTTTTTTTTTTTTCTCATTCTGTCTCTCAGAGTTGAGGTTTACCCATGATTAAAATGACTGGCCTCCCTCATCTTTTTAAGTGGGAGAACTATCACAATTGGTGGCTGACTATATACTTTCTTGCCCCACTGTAGATTTAGTCTTATGTAGGAGGCCATGTTGACAAGTTCTTGTCAGCATCGCTAGCTAAGCCCCTCCCACGTGTTAATATAACTGTCTATCATTCTAAGATGTTTATTTTAAAACCTCACGCTGGTCTCTCTCAAGCCTCTCTCTCTCTGCTCTCTCTCTTGTCTCTCTTGCTTTCTTTTGTCACAGATGTAAGTTTTTCTCTCCTCACAGGTGCCACCATCATAATAATTCAGCCAGCGTCTAAAGGCGACCAGAGCCCAGTGTCCCAGCAGCCCTCCCCTCTCTCCCCCGTCTCCCCCGTATCCCCCCCTGCTGCTGGTGAGGAGCCCACTCCAGCCCCTCCCCCCTCCACAGTCTCACAGCCAGAGGACAAACTGTGTAAGCTCCAGCCTCTCCTCCAGGGGGCACCGTCTGTCTCACTGCACCAGAGCAGTCACAGAACTGCGCTTTACAATAAGGCGAAATAAATGTGTTATTTATGAGACTAAAGGTACCTCAGCTTTAATAGATGATGATGAAACTATGGATGACATCTTGGCCTCCAATGTTCACAATTAAGTTACAAAGTCCATGTTCCGCAGCTGCTCTGGTGTCGTCTCTGTCACTAACCGCACTTTTAATCTTCTTTGTCTTTCATTCCAGCTCATTTAAAACACCTCAATCATGTGTCATCTCTAGTCTCTCCTTCGTCTCTCTCCCTTGTCTCTCCCTGGTCTCTCTCCCTGGTCTCTCTCCCTGGTCTCTCTCCCTGGTCTCTCTCCCTGGTCTCTCTCCCTGGTCTCTCTCCCTGGTCTCTCTCCCTGGTCACTCCCTGGTCTCTCCTTGGTCTCTCTCCCTGGTCTCTCTCCCTGGTCTCTCTCCCTGGTCTCTCTCCCTGTTCTCTCTCCCTGTTCTCTCTCTGGTCTCTCCCTGGTCTCTCTCCCTGGTCTCTCTCCCTGGTCACTCTCCCTGGTCTCTCCCTGGTCTCTCTCCCTGGTCTCTCTCCCTGGTCTCTCCCTGGTCTCTCTCCCTGGTCTCTCTCCCTGGTCTCTCTCCCTGGTCACTCTCCCTGGTCTCTCCCTGGTCTCTCTCCCTGGTCTCTCTCCCTGGTCTCTCTCCCTGGTCTCTCTCCCTGGTCTCTCTCCCTGGTCACTCCCTGGTCTCTCCTTGGTCTCTCTCCCTGGTCTCTCTCCCTGGTCTCTCTCCCTGTTCTCTCTCCCTGTTCTCTCTCTGGTCTCACCCTGGTCTCTCTCCCTGGTCTCTCTCCCTGGTCACTCTCCCTGGTCTCTCCCTGGTCTCTCTCCCTGGTCTCTCTCCCTGGTCTCTCCCTGGTCTCTCTCCCTGGTCTCTCTCCCTGGTCTCTCTCCCTGGTCTCTCTCCCTGGTCTCTCTCCCTGGTGTCTCTCCCTGGTCTCTCCCTGGTCTCTCCCTGGTCTCTCTTCCTGGTCTCTCTCCCTGGTCACTCTCTCTGGTCTCTCTCCCTGGTCTCTCCCTGGTCTCTCTCTCTCCCTAGTATCTCTCTCTGGTCTCTCTCTCTCTCTCTCTCGCACCATCGTCCTTCATCCTTGTGTTCTCTCCCTTAAGCCTCTCTGTTGAGTCCAGCATCTAAACGTCTGTGTTCTGTTGCAGGAAAGTGACTGAATGAGGATCTGCTGAAGGTAAATATACACTCAACCCTAACCCTCTTATGGAACAAGGCCTGTTATACCTCATTCTAAAGCAGGGGTGTCAAACCGGTTCCAGAAAGGGCCGGTGTGGCTGCAGGTTTTAGTTCCAACTTGAGCAGGAGCACACCAGACTCCACCCATTTTCTCAAATCTTAAGGTGAAAAATGGTCTCACCTGAGGAAATGGGTGGAGTCTGGTGTTCTCCTGGTAAGGTTGGAACTAAAACCTGCAGCCACACCGGCCCTTTGAGGACCGGTTTGACACCCCTGTTCTAAAGCTTATGGCCTTAATAAACACTTAATTACATAAAGCTAAATAAAACAAACACATTTTTGGCAACTGAGTATCTGTGGTGCCCCCTGCAGGTGAAAGCCAGATCCTGTAGGACCTGGCGTGCAGGGCCTGGTTAGTACTATGATGGGAGACCCCTGGGAACACCAGGTCCCACAGTGGGGTGGCTGCGGCTGTAAAATGCCAAACTGTGGTTGTGTCCTTAGGCAAGACACTTCACCCACATTAGAATAAGTCTGGTGTATGTGTGTGTGAGTTAGAGTTTTGTTCGGGCCTGAAGAATGAAGCCCGACCCGGCCCGAGCCCGTATAAGCCCGACCAATGAACGCTCTATAACAGGCCCGAGACCGACAGAACCCGACACATCTGATTTCCCGTTGTAAGCACTCACCTTCCAATTGCAAGTTTAGTCTCCACTTTTGAATTTGTTTTGTCTCCACTTGATCCATTTCTACTATTGTTCCTGTTCGCTGTTGACCACAGCATGCAGCAGGAGACACGGGGATGATGCGCTCACGGCTCGCTGCTGCTGTAGGACACGCTGGTTACGGTGTCATTAATATATTAACTTTTTTTAATAACTTGTTGTCAATCAACGGACATTGTTATTAATATATATATATATATATATATATATATATATATATATATATGCATATCATTATGTATAAAAATAATTTAAAAATAATTATAATAATAATAAAAAAGAAACATATATTTAAAAAAAGAAGCTCGAGCCCGGCACGAACCCGACAGCTGAGCGCCAAATGAGGCACGAGCCCGGCCCGAACTCAGGTCGGGCCTCGGGCCTGCTCGGGCTCGGGCTGAAAAGCGAAACTCTAGTGTGAGTTGGTGGTGGTGGGAGGGACCGATGGCACAGACTGGTTCTCTCTGTGTGCCCCATGGCAACTGCACCTACAGAAATAGTTTATCACCACTGTGAGAGTGAGCGTCTTTGAGCATCCAGAAAAGTGCTGTATAAAACCCATCAATTATTATTATTACAGTTATTACAGCCTTCTTCACACTTTGGTTCAATCCAAACAAATCTTTGCTTTGAGTCTTCTGCTGACATTACACTTTGATGTCCACTAGGAGTCCTCAAAATACCTTTTTGGCATGTTTGAGACCTCTGCTTTACCACAAGAATACACATGCACTATTCAGGCCACAGGTAGAAGTTTTAATAGTAGTTCTAAAACTACACATATTTTTATCATTCTCAGCCTTTGGAGTGACCGAGTCTCATCCAGCATCCAGCCGACCCAGCCCCTCACGAGCCGCATCCTTACCCCCAAAACAGCTCCTGATCCTGGGTCGGAGGAGAGACTGAAAGCCCTGGTCCCATCTATGTCAACATTTAGCATTTAACAAAATGTGATTATATTTTGGTTGCCATTTTTAATACATGAGTCGACTTATATTATTTTCTACAGTAATGGACGAAAGCACTTGTGTTGAAAAGTTTGGGATCACACAAAGTCTCAGTATACATCTATACTCAGTATACATACAGACCTCTGTCTCAGTATACATGCAGACCTCTGTCTCAGTATACATGCAGACCTCTGTCTCAGTATACATACAGACCTCTGTCTCAGTATACATACAGACCTCTGTCTCAGTATACATGCAGACCTGTCTCATTATTCATGCAGACCTGTCTCAGTATACATTCAGACCTCTGTCTCAGTATACTTGAAGACCTCTCTAGGTGTGAAAACCAAACTTCTCAACGGTTGTTGGTCCGTGTCTCTGCGTCTGGGACCTCTTTTATGTGAGTGGAGTTTGAAGTGAAGACTGAAGCATGTGTTTACAGCCCTGGTGCATGTCCCTCCTGTCTCCTTCTGAGTGTGAGGCAGAAAATGTCCAACCCTAAGGTGTGGACAGGACGATGCTAACCCGCACTTTAGTGACTTCAGAACAACTAAACAATCTCATTCTCACTTTTTTATTGTTGCTTTAAAGGATGTGACGTGTTCTAGTACACAGATTATCAACGTATTCCTCCCAAAACCGGACCAAAGAGTAGACTGAGCCAGTGTGACATCTCCACAATGTAAGCCTTAATGTGGAAGCTAGCAAGAACCACTTTCCTTTATATGGGCATTTGTTCCAAGTGCTTCTAGTGAAACGAAACTTAACCATGAGCACCTCCCTATTTGGCTTATTTGAGCTAGCGGGTTAGCATTGTCTGTTTGTATACAGTCTATGGTTCTTGGACAGTTGGTACAACGCGTCACCCCTTTGAATCAAACACCATCTGATTTTATTACAATTTTAACATCTGTGACATTTTTTCTAATTTTTTAAACAAATGCCAAACTAGTACAAACCTGGACTGGACCGTTACCAGGACTTCATAATTACACTGCAAAACATAGTAAAAAAAAGGTCAACATTACTTTAATTAGATGAATTTGCTACTTGCACGTTACCCATAATGCTTTGTACCTTGAGGGGGGTCTCTCTCATTGAAGCTGTGTGCAGTAAAGTCCATCCATCCATCCCTTTTCTTCCGCTTCATCCGTTGCCAGGTCGCGGGGGCAGCAGTCTAGCAGAGACGCCCACACTTCCCTATCCACGCACACTTCCTCCAGCTCATCCGGGGGGACCCCAAGGCGTTCCCAGGCCAGCTGAGAGACATAGTCCCTCCAGCGTGTCCTGAGTATTCCCCGGGGTCTCCTCCCGGTGGGACGTGCCCGAAACACCTCCCCAGGGAGGCGTCCGGGAGGCAGCCTGAACAGATGCCCGAGCGGCTCTACTCTGCAGTAAAGTCACAGTCTGTAAAACCAGCTGTGGGAGAAGTAATTGTGAAACCTGAAGGTCTTTGTAAACACTGGCCTCAGAGACAAAGACAGTAGAGAGAGTCGCCACCTGCAGGTCGTGTACAGAACAGCACTCACTTGGACTATTTAAGCCTAGGAACCAATCTGTTTAAGCTGTAGAAGTTTAACTTAAACTTCTCTGATGGTTCATGGAGCTAATATTAAGGTTAATGTACACTTTATCTATCCTCTGCATTTGACCCATCCTGCAGTGGTTGTTGTAGTGACTAGGTTTGGGGTCAGAACTACCGGAGCTGGAGTAACCTGTCCACCCTACGCAGACACAGGGAGAACATGGAAAGACACTGATCCGACCTGGATTCAAACCCTCTGCGCTGTCATGCCACCACCTCAACCACTAGCAGCACAGAGGAGCAGTGGTTGGCAAAGGAAATGGGTTCGATTCCACCTCCAGATGATCTCTGCGTAGGTTTCCTCTAGGTGCTCCGGTTTCCTCTACCACTGAAAACACATGTACAATAGGTCTGACACACACACCCTGTAGGCGACTCCATCAGTGAGTTGAGTCAGAAATAATATAAAATTTTCTATAGTAAAAAGATAACTTACTTAGTCCCCAGACCACAAAGCATTATGGGACTGCACAAGTATCAATTATTAGCCAGATCTTCTTATGGGAGTATCTATCTCTGAAGGAGAACTTATGATACTGGTCCACGTTATGAAGAGTTCTAACACACTTAAATAAGTTAAAATGCTCTTGTTACATGTATGAGAGATCAAGACATGTTCTTGCAATAACATTTTCTTCACCAGCGACCTAACAGAAACATGTGCTCGAAGTTTTAACATTGTACATATATTTTTGTATTTTTTTTATGTCTCCATAGTCATGCCATAAGTTCATGTCCAGCAGGCTCCAAACACTGCTTTCGCCGTAGGGTCGTCATGGAAACTGTGTAAATGCATTAATTATTATTTGTAGATATTTGTCTTGTTTGGGGCTTTTTTGTGATCTGTAAAAACTTAGACATTCAGACGAATAAACGGGGATTTTGTAACGTTTGTGTCTGGTCTCTTTTTACCAATACTATTACTGCTACTATTACTACTACTATTACTGCTACTGCTGCTACTATTACGACTACTGTTACTACTGCTGTGGGGTAATCCCATTAGGAGCTTGTCCTCAGATTGTCATTCCAGGCAGCGGTTAAAGAGCTCAGACAAAAGGAAAGATTAAAGACACATTTGTTTATGGTTTGTGCTGTTAGCAAAGGTGGATACTGAGATGATAGAAAAGTTACTAACTGTTGCTTTAATACTTGATCAAGATCAATACTTTGCAGCGCTGTAATTGACTGAACTATTTTATTCAAACTTAAATAGTAACCCTAACAAAATACATAGGAAATAAATACAACAATATTCACTTGAACCTTAAAATAAGATTTGTGAACCACCGGTTATAAGAATAAAGATTTAAGTTCACTCATTCTCTTCAGCTATGGGGATGTAGCTCAGTGGTAGAGCGCATGCTTTGCATGTATGAGGCCCCGGGTTCAATCCCCGGCATCTCCACTCGGAATTCTTTTGATTTTATTTTTTCAACAACATCATAAGAAAAAAGCGTGTTCTATCTTAATATTTATTCTATGATTTCAATTCGAGTTGGTCCCATGTATGGAATTAACAAATGTGATCCTCCTGGTTAGTTGTGGAGAGGATGTGTAGCGTACAGAGCGGAAGAGGGATGACAGAGACAGAAAGTGGCAAATAGTAGTTGGAAATTCTCTTCCCCGTGTATTTATAGAGCCCACGAAACATAGGTCATAAGATGACACACATGCGCACTAGTGTAATTCGCTAAGAGTTACTAGGATACGATATCTGATCATATTTACAATAACATAATATTTACAGTCTTTGCCTGACACTAAAGCGTAATGGAAGGTCAACCGGGTAGAGTAGAGCCGAGCAGAGAAGAGGTTAATAATATTCAATGCTCGAGTCTAAAGCATAAATAAATATGTAAATATTTTTATAAAGCAGAATAATGACAATTTAATTCAGCTCTAGTTTTGCTACAATTGCAGATTTTTGATTTCCTTCAATGATATATTTTGTATGTAATTTAATTTATATGTTTATGTTTATTTGTTATTCATCGTTTTAATTTTATCTTTCAAATGCTCGTCGCATGTTACTTTCTCACTATCTGGCAACCCCTTTGTTGCTAAGGAGACGTCCTGTTTACTGATGTAGCCATTAATTCTCTGAAACCAATGGTTAGCGACGGGTTTCCACCCCGGGGACCCTCTCACTGCTTTTAGGTTTACCTTATTCCATTCCCGGGGCTCTCACACACTTCTAGAAATGCAGCTGAAACACATGAAAACCCTGCTCCCTCCTCAGGTGAGTGTGCTGCTGTTAGCCGCTAGTGACGCGGATCTGGTAAAGGTTTCTCTACAGCATGAAGTGGCAACAGCTAACGTAATGCTAGCACAACCTGCCCGATTTGTTCCTACAGGCAAATCATCACAAATATGGTTTTACATTAGGTTTTATTGTATTGTTTTCGCACTGCATGTGTTTGATTTGAATTTGATTCCAGATCATGTTATATTAAAGAGGCTTCTGCTTTGCCACGTGACAGAGGTGTCAGATAATCACAGACACCAGAGCTACAGATAACGGAACGTTATTTCACATTAATAACACCACAGGTGTTCAACAATATAATCAGAGCAATGTTCACCTTAAATGTTATAACTTTACTATTACATAGTATTACTATTACGAAGTATTTGTGATGTGGTATGTAGACTTCCCCCTCCCCAGACATCTACATTTTGTTCGATTCAGACTTTTGTAGGAAAGCTAGTGCAACTATTTCTTTTTTCATAATTATGGCATGGGTTATAACCAAAAACCAAAAACATACAGGGAAATAATTTTAATTTAATTTTAATTTAGTTAAGTTTTAATACATGTTATTTATTCATTTGATGGGACACGTGTATACAATCAACATGTGTAATACCATAATTAGTGATGTCATGTGCAGGTGAAAGCCAGATCCCGTTAGACCTCTGAAGCTAAGCAGGGCAGTGCCTGCTTAATACTGTGCCGGGACACCTCTGGGAACACCAGATGCCACAGTGAGATGGTATAAGCTATGAAGTGCCACTTCACTGTTTGACTCAAAGACTCACAGTGCTCTTTCACAGAAGAAAACACTTTCTCAAATGAGGAGTGTGTCTCTGTGTGTTTGTTGTGTTGCAGGAGGGGGGAGCGGGGAAGGTAACATGTTCGGCCTGGTCTCCAAACAACATGCGTTTTGCCGTCTGCACCGTGGACCGTGTGGTTCTGCTGTACGACGAGCAGGGAGAGAGGAGGGATAAGTTCTCCACCAAACCTGCTGATGCCAAGGTGAGAACGCATCTGGTCCCTCTGGTCTCTCCCTGGTCTCTCTCTCTGGCCTCTCTCTCTGGTCTCTGTCCCTGGTCTCTATCTCTGGTATCTCGCTGGTCTCTCTCTCGCCTCGCTATAGGCTCACACTGGTCTTTGTTCACAAATGCTCTCTGTCTGATCTGACAAGAACTGAGGGTGTTTTGTAACATGGTTTGGGAAAACTTTAATTCTCTAGATGTGCCAAGAGTGAGTCCCTAAATCAGTGGGACCCTTTGTGTAAGCCCTCAGTCGTACAGGGATTAGTCAAAGCAAAGGAAGGTTTCTCACCCATCATCTGTACTTCTTAGCAGGTTTTCCCGACGTTTCGTCCTCAATCCTAAGGACTTCTTCTGAGAATTCATTCCCTGAAGAAGTCCCTAGGATTGAGGACGAAACGTCGGGAAAACCTGCTAAGAAGTACAGATGATGGGTGAGAAACCTTCCTTTGCAGTGGGACCCTTGTTGACTGCAGTAAAACAGAGTTCCACAGGGAGTCTGTTACTTTGTGAACTTTCAAACTTGTATTTGTTGTGGTACATGGGACAGCTGACACAGGGGGCACTGTAGAGCATAGTCTCACATTAGTCCCTTCTCCTTAGTTTGGGAAACAGAGCTACACAGTGACAGACATGGCCTTCTCTCCGGACTCCACGCGGATCGCTATCGCTCAGTCTGACAACATCGTCTACGTCTACAAGATCGGAGCTGAGTGGTGAGAACCTGCTGTGACCTCTGACCTCTGTTTCCACAGCGATAAAATCTGTGCTTTTGTTTGCGTTCAGGGGCGACAAGAAATCCATCTGCAACAAGTTTTTACAGAATGTAAGTGGAATCTGTCTTCATCAATATTATAATAATACAGGGCTCAGAGCTGAGCCCTGAGGGACCCCTGTCCTCTTACACACGCACTTTTATGTTCTTCATACAAAATACACCTGCAACAAGGTCGTGGGTTCCATTCCACGTTCAGGTCTTTCTGTTTTGAGTTTGCATGTTCTCCCCATGTCTGTGTAGGTTTCCTCCAGATGTTTCGATTTCCCCTACCACTTAACACATGTACAATAGTTCATTGTGTTTTACAGAAACTGCTGTTCGTGTATACACAAATGATTAATGAATCGATCAATAGAATAAAAACAAAACTATAAATATAATTATTGTTTATTTTTGTTCCAGAGCGCAGTGACACGACTGCTGTGGCCCGCGGAGAACGCCATTGTCTTGGGGTTAGCGGATGGAAAGGTAAGAGAGACCAGAGAGAGACCCCAAAGAGAGACCAGATAGGGACCAGAGAACAGAGACAGACCAGAGAGAGACCCCTGTGTCTCTCTCAATTGTAAACCTTTTTCCATGTTTTCAGGTGCGTCTGGCAAACACTCAGACCAACAAGTCGTCTACTCTGTTCGGAACAGAGTCCTACGTCGTGTCGCTGACCTCAAAGTAAACTCTCACATTTCACATTTTTACAGAGGAAACTGTATTAGGAGAGCACTGACAGTGTGACATCACCTCAGTGTTAGCCTTAATGCAGAAGAAGCTAATTTGAACATAAGCTCGAACCAGTTTCCTTACTATATGGGCAAACTGGAGTTTCCCTTGAATAAAGCCGTCTGATTGGTTCGTTCTAGTCCTTCGCAGGTTAGGCCATATGGTAATGCTACATACAGTATATAAACATTGAGGACCTTGGCTTACTCTGTGTGTGTTCTGTGCGTGTGTGTGTCCTTAGTGCATCAGGGAAGGGCGTTCTGTCGGGACACGCTAATGGGACTGTGGTTCGTTATTTCTTTGACGATGAGGGATCCGGAGACTCACAGGTGAAACATCACTGTTATCACCTGTGATGACATCACTCAGTACAGTTCCATTTATTGGGGCCTTAAATCACTACAACTGATCAGAGAATCAACTATTTGAAACACAGAAAATGCAATTATAACAAACACATAGAGCCATTGGTTCATAGGGAGCAGGTTGACCACTGTCCACAGAAATATTCATAAATGTCCTGGATCATCACGGCCCTTAGACCCTCCTGCATCAGAGAGGAAGCACTCAGAAACATAGGCTGAGGCTGTAGATCCAGGACTGAGGCTGTAGATCCAGGACTGAGGCTGTAGATCCAGGACTGAGGCTATAGACCCAGGACTGAGGCTGTAGATCCAGAGTATTCTGATCTCTCTCTCTTCAGGGTAAGGTTCTGGTCCACCCCTGCCCCCCGTACGCCCTGGGCTGGGGTCTGAATGGTATCCTGGTGGGGGGTTGTGATCGTCGTATCGTGGCGTACAGCCGAGAGGGCCTCGTGCTGCAGACCTTCGACCACAGCAGAGACCCGAGCGAGAGAGACTTCACCACAGCCGTGACCAGCCCCAGCGGCCAGAGTGTAGTGTTCGGCAGCTATGACCGGTCAGTGACCAGACACATGGAATCCAGCGTGAGCTCTAACCTGTGTGAGTTCTAACGTGTGTGTGTCGCAGGCTGCGTGTATTTAACTGGGCGCCGCGCAGAGGTGTCTGGGACGAGGCCAAACCCAAAGACATCACCAACCTCTACAGCATCACCAGCCTGAGCTGGAAGAGAGACGGCTCCAAGCTGTGTGCTGTGAGTGTGTGTGTGCTGTGAGGGTGTGTGTGTGTGTGCTGTGAGTGTGTGTGTGTGTGTGTGTGTGTGTGCTGTGAGGGTGTGTGTGTGTGCGGATGAAGGATAATCATGCACACCTATATTTACATGACATCTTTGTAATGTCAGACCCCTGAGAGAGCTTCTCTCTCACCGATGCAGCAGCTCGTAGCTGTGGTCGCAGGTCTCTGGTGCTGTTCCCATCAGCATCCAGTGGTGGCAGCTCAGTCCTATCCTGATGGATTTTGGGAATCCTGAGGCAAATGTCCATGACCAACAAGATGAGAGACAAGCAGTCGAAATGAGCTTCCTCCACAGAGTGGAGCTCCCTTAGAGATAGAGTGAGGAGCTCAGTCACACAGGAGGAGTTCATAGTAGAGCTTCTGCTCCTCCACGTGGAGGTGGCTCATGTGTTTGGGATGCCTCATGGACGCCTCCTTGAGGAGGTGTTCTGGGCATGTCCCACCAGGAAGAGGCCAGGGGAAGACCTGTCTCTCCGCTGGGAACGCCCCAGGATTCCCACAGATGCGCTGGAGGTGTGTGTGGAGAGGGAAGCCTGTGTCAGACTGCAGTCCCTGCGACCTGGCAACGGATAAAAGTGGAAGAGAATGGGTGGATGGATGGATGATATTATTATGTGTTCATCACCTCTGTGTGTGTGTCTGTGTCTGTGTGTATGTATTTGTGTGTGTGTCTGTCTGTATGTATGTGTTTGTGTGTATTTGTATGTATGTGTGTATGTGTTTCTAGGGGACCTTGTGTGGAGCAGTGGAGCTGTTCGACTGCTGCTTGAGGAGGAGCATCTACAAGAACAAGTTTGAAATCACATACGAGGGACTGAGTCAGGTGTGTGTTTGATACAGAGAGAGACCTGTGCTCTGCTGTTGGTTGGGCCTCACAGCTCCTCTCTGCAGGTGCTGGTGAGAAACCTGTCCTCTGGTTCTCGGGTCATCCTGAAGTCTGGTTACGGTTATGAGATCGAGGAGGTGAAGATCATGGGACAAGACCGGTACCTGGTGTCACACACATCTGACACACTGCTGCTGGCAGACCTGCTACACAACAAGCTGAGCGAGGTACGCACACACGCTTACACACACACACACACACACACATACAAACACACACACACACACACACACACACACCTGTGTGTGTTTTGGTCCCTTCTGTATGAACTGTTCTCTCAAACTGTGCTCTTCTGGTTCTCAGTCTGTGTTGATGGTAATAGCTGTGTGTGTCTCAGGTGCCGTGGCCCGGCTCCGGGGGAAATGAAAAGTTCTTCTTTGAAAATGAGTCGGTGAGTTTAACTCTTTATTTTATTTTTTATTTTTTTTACCATAAAGTTGAATGTCTTAAAGCTGAGGATACGTTTAAATTACCACACTGTGTTGTTGTGTCCAGGTGTGTTTGATCTTTAACGCTGGAGAGCTCAGTCTGGTGGAGTATGGCAACAACCAAGTCCTGGGATCAGTACGGACCGATTTCATGAACCCACACCTCATCAGGTCAGAACACTGCACACAGGAGGCTCATTCTGGTCCCTAAAACACACAGACCTCACACTGATGTCACTATTAGCCACAGACTGTATATAGATGGACAGTGCTAATCTGCTAGCTCCATGAAGCCTAAAGCCTGAGGGTTAGCTCCTGTTACATTCACATGTAACAGTGAACTCTCTGTGTCATCTGTGTCACACTCTGCAGTTGTCTGTGGTTTATCTCTGTTTGGTGGGAGTGAGCGCACTCTGTGTAATAATATTGTACTGTTTGTGTGTGTCTGTTTGTGTAGTGTGTGTCTAAACGAGAGGAAGCTGCGTGGAGCTGAAGACAATAAGAAACTGGCGTACCTTATCGACCTGAAGACCATTGCCATCGGTGAGAAACTCTGCCTGAGGACCCTCATGAGCCCGAGGAGCTTGAGAAGCCTGAGGAATTTTATAGTTTTTCTTTGTAAAAATGTAGAAGATTAAGTCAAAAACAAATATAAACATGTGTAGTCTTTTTATGAGACTAAAGTTACAGACCTGAACTTTACCATGTCTCTCCACAGTGGACTTGAGCAGAGGCTACAGTCTGGGGACCATCAGCCACGACTCAAAGATCGACTGGTTAGAACTGAACAAGACCGGGAGGAAACTGTTGTTTAGAGACAAGAAACTCAGGGTGAAACACACACAACCAGGCTCTACACTGCTCTGCTCTACTCTACTCTGCTCTACTCTACTCTACTCTACTCTACTCTGCTCTACTCTACTCTGCTCTGCTCTGCTCTGCTCTACTCTGCTCTGCTCTACTCTACTCTACTCTACTCTACTCTGCTCTGCTCTACTCTACTCTACTCTACTCTACTCTACTCTACTCTACTCTGCTCTGCTCTGCTCTGCTCTGCTCTGCTCTGCTCTGCTCTACTCTACTCTACTCTACTCTACTCTACTCTACTCTACTCTACTCTACTCTGCTCTGCTCTGCTCTGCTCTGCTCTGCTCTGCTCTGCTCTGCTCTGCTCTACTCTACTCTACTCTACTCTACTCATTGAATGGCTGGTGTTGTTAATGAAGCTAAAGTTGTGTACCCCAGCTTTAATCTGCTGGACTGTGTTTGCTGCAGCTGCTCCTGTTGGACCTGGCGTCCGGCCTGAGGACCACTCTGCTGGGATTCTGCTCCTTCGTGCAGTGGGTTCCAGGCAGTGATGTGGTGGTGGCTCAGAACAGAGGGAATCTGTGTGTGTGGTACAACATTGAGAGCCCAGACAGCGCCACCATGCTGCCTATCAAGGTACTGCTGCTGCTACTGCTTCTGCTACTATTACTACTACTGTTACCCTGGGTATCAGACTCCATGTGGTCTCTCTCTCCCCTCTCCTCACCCCTCTTCTCTCTCCACAGGGTGACATAGTGGAGATAGAGCGTGTAGATGGAAAGACTAACGTAGTGATCTCTGAGGGTCTGAACACTGTGACCTTCGTCCTGGACGAGGGACTCATCGAGTTCGGGACCGCGATCGACGATGGAGACTACGAGCGGTAAGAGAGCGCTCCTCCTCTCTCTTCTCTCTTCTCTCTCCCTCTCTCCTCCTCTCTCCTCTTTCCTCTCTTCTTTCTCTCCTCCTCTCTCCTCTCTATATCAACTATGGTCTCATTATTTTCTCCTCATGTTTAGTAGTGGTGACAATATTCACAAATGTTGTCCAGTAGAAAGACTTTCTGACATGACAATATAATGGCTCTTTATGAATATAATCTAATAATGATCTGAAAACCACAGAACATTTTCTCCTCACACATTTCTTACCACCTTGTTCCAGAGCCACAGCGTTCCTGGAGTCGTTGGAGATGTGTCCAGAGACAGAAGCCATGTGGAAAACTCTGAGCAAACTGTCTCTGGAGGAGAGACAGCTGCACATCACCCAGAGGTACTCTCTCACAGAGGTACTCTCTCACTGAGGGACTCTCTCTGGTCTCACTCTGGTCTCTCGCTGGTCTCTCTCTGGTCTGAAGTGTGTGTGTGTTCAGGTGTTGTGCGGCCCTGGGAGATGTGTCCACAGCTCGGTTCCTGCAGCAGATTAATCAGACGGTGGAGGCAGTGGAGCAGGAAGCGGTGAGCTCCCAACACAAACACATGTCCTGATCCTGTTGCCGGTGCTGTTGCTATGATAGATTCTGAACAGAGTGTGTTCTGCAGGGGGGAGACGGCACGCTGCACTACAAAGTCCAGGCCCAGATTGCTGCTCTGAACAAGGACTTTAAACTGGCTGAAAGGTTCTACTTAGAGCAGGTAGAGCTCTGCTCTTCTCTACTTTACTCTTCTCTGCTGTTTGAGACAGTGGCAGGCAGCAAGAAGGTCCTGGGTTAAAATCCTGGTCGGAATAGGACCTTTCTGAGTGGAGTTTGCATGTTCTCCCCGTGTCTGAATAGGTTTCCTCAGGGTGCTCCAGTTTCCCCTACCACTAGAAGTGGTCATCTACCTTCTGTCATCACCGTGTATGAACATTGTAAAGCGCTTTGAGTGACCTTGGTCTGTAAAAAAACTCTGTTTTGCTCTACTCTGTTCTGCTCTTTTTGATAAACTTCCAGTGTTTCTCTGACACAGAACGCTGTGGACGAGGCCATCGAGATGTACCAAGAGCTGCACATGTGGGACCAGAGCATCTCTGTGGCTGAGGCCAAGGTACCACCAGGACTGAGACCAGGACTGAGACCAGGACTGAGACCAGGACTGAGACCAGGTTCAGACCATGTATCTACTTAGCTTATAACTATGGACTTGTTCCTGTGATCATGGTACCTGTGATGATAGTACCTGTGATGATAGTACCTGTGATGATAGTACCTGTGATGATAGTACCTGTGATGATAGTACCTGTGATCATGGTACCTGTGATGATAGTACCTGTGTTCCTCAGAGTCACCCAGAGCTGGAGACTCTCCGCAGCAGTTATCTGTCGTGGCTCACAGACACAGCACAGGACGAGAAGGCAGGAGAGGTCAGACACACGCACGCACATACACACACACACATACACATACTTACATACATACATAGAGGGTCTAAACCTTTGTTGACAAACCCTGGCCCGTGGGTGAGAGTTGTGGCCGCCTCAATTTTTTAAGCACCAAATCAGACACAACTGTTCATCTGGAAAAAGAACCCTGTGAGTCACTATCTGCCTCTTTGGGCTGAGAGCTGATTGACTAATGAAGCAACTTTTTTAGAGCCAGAACCAGAGACATTGGTTTAATACAGAGTTCTGTTGTTGTTTGAAAGTTACGTGCCCCAGCTTTAAAGCCCCTCTCCTCACACTGTGGGCTGACCCTGTGTTGTTCTGCAGGTGAAGGAGGCGGAGGGAGACCTGTCCTCAGCCATCAGTCTGTACCTCAGAGCTGGACTCCCGGCTAAAGCTGCCAGACTGGCCCTCAGCAAACCTCATCTGATCCAGGACTCAGACCTGGTCAACCGCATCGCAGCCAGTCTGGTGCAGGCAGAGTTCCATGAGCGGGTACGTGTGTTGCTTGTCTTCAGAGGAGCAGGAGCAGCACAGGAGCAGCGGGAGGAGGGGGAAGAACAAGAGAAGCAGGAATGGGACGAGCAGGAGGGGCAGGAGGAGCAGAATGACTCAGCTGCGTTTGTCTCTAGGCTGGAGATCTGTACGAGAGTATCAGGAACCACAAGAGGGCGCTGGAGTGTTACGTCAAAGGAGGAGCCTTTAGGAAAGGTCTGTAAGAAGAATTTTTACAGACGAGGAAAGAAGAGGAATTGCCTCATTTCTCTGGGGTCTGTCTGGTCTCTCTCTGGTCTCTCTCTGGTCTCTCTTTGGTCTCTCTCTGGTCTCTGTCTGGTCTCTCTCTGGTCTCTCTCTGGTCTCTCTCTCTTGTCCTGTACTGGGACTATAGCAGACTTGTGAGAAGTGTGTCTTGACCCTGAGTCTCTCCTTCAGCGGTGGAGTTGTCTCGCGCCTCCTTCCCCTCTGAGGTGGTGCGTCTGGAGGAGTTGTGGGGAGAGTACCTGGTCCAGCAGAAGCAGATGGACGCAGCCATTAACCATTTCATCGAAGCCGGGTCAGTGTCACACACAGACCATCGCTGCTTTAACACCACGACCATGAACTCTGTAACAAACACATGCCTCTAGCTCCAGTTACTTCTATGACTAGTTTCATGTATTTCTCCTCTCTCTCATCTCTCTCCTCTCTCTCCTCTTCTTTCTTCTTTCCTCTCATCTCTCCTGTCCTATCTCCTTTTCTTTCTCCTCTTCTTTTTCCTCTCTCTCCTCTCATTTCTTTCTCCTCTCTCCCCTCTCCTCTTTCTCCTCTCCTCTCTGCTCTCTCTCTCCTGCAGTTGCTCAATCAAAGCCATAGAGGCCGCTGTTGCTGCTCGTCAGTGGAAGAAGGCCGTCCACATCCTGGAGCTTCAAGACGACGCAGCAGCGGCAAAATATTATGTGAAGATCGCACACCACTATGCCTCAGTGCATGACTATGAGGTGAGAGACCAGAGAGAGACCAGAGAGAGACCAGAGAGAGACCAGAGAGAGGGACCAGAGAGAGAGACCAGAGAGAGAGACCAGAGAGAGGGACCAGAGAGAGGGACCAGAGAGAGGGACCAGAGAGAGAGACCAGAGAGAGAGACCAGAGAGAGGGACCAGAGAGAGGGACCAGAGAGAGGGACCAGAGAGAGACCAGAGAGAGACCAGAGAGAGAGACCAGAGAGAGGGACCAGAGAGAGGGACCAGAGAGAGGGACCAGAGAGAGGGACCAGAGAGAGGGACCAGAGAGGGACCAGAGAGAGACCAGAGAGAGACCAGAGAGAGGGACCAGAGAGAGGGACCAGAGAGAGGGACCAGAGAGAGGGACCAGAGAGAGAGACCAGAGAGAGACCAGAGAGAGACCAGAGAGAGACCAGAGAGAGACCAGAGAGAGGGACCAGAGAGAGGGACCAGAGAGAGACCAGAGAGAGACCAGAGAGAGACCAGAGAGAGACCAGAGAGAGACCAGAGAGAGACCAGAGAGAGACCAGAGAGAGACCAGAGAGAGACCAGAGAGAGACCAGAGAGAGACCAGAGAGAGACCAGAGAGAGACCAGAGAGAGGACCAGAGAGAGGGACCAGAGAGAGGGACCAGAGAGAGGGACCAGAGAGAGGACCAGAGAGAGGGACCAGAGAGAGGGACCAGAGAGAGGGACCAGAGAGAGGGACCAGAGAGAGGGACCAGAGAGAGGGACCAGAGAGAGGGACCAGAGAGAGGGACCAGAGAGCGGGACCAGAGAGAGGGACCAGAGAGAGGGACCAGAGAGAGGGACCAGAGAGAGGGACCAGAGAGAGGGACCAGAGAGAGGGACCAGAGAGAGGGACCAGAGAGAGGGACCAGAGAGAGGGACCAGAGAGCGGGACCAGAGAGAGGGACCAGAGAGAGGGACCAGAGAGAGGGACCAGAGAGAGGGACCAGAGAGAGGGACCAGAGAGAGGGACCAGAGAGAGGGACCAGAGAGAGACCAGAGAGAGACCAGAGAGAGACCAGAGAGAGACCAGAGAGAGACCAGAGAGAGGGACCAGAGAGAGGACCAGAGAGAGGGACCAGAGAGAGAGACCAGAGAGAGGGACCAGAGAGAGGACCAGAGAGAGGGACCAGAGAGAGGGACCAGAGAGAGGGACCAGAGAGAGGGACCAGAGAGAGGGACCAGAGAGAGGGACCAGAGAGAGGGACCAGAGAGAGGGACCAGAGAGAGGGACCAGAGAGAGACCAGAGAGAGGGACCAGAGAGAGGGACCAGAGAGAGGGACCAGAGAGAGGGACCAGAGAGAGACCAGAGAGAGACCAGAGAGAGACCAGAGAGAGACCAGAGAGAGACCAGAGAGAGACCAGAGAGAGGGACCAGAGAGAGGACCAGAGAGAGGGACCAGAGAGAGGGACCAGAGAGAGGGACCAGAGAGAGGGACCAGAGAGAGGGACCAGAGAGAGGGACCAGAGAGAGGGACCAGAGAGAGGGACCAGAGAGAGGGACCAGAGAGAGGGACCAGAGAGGGACCAGAGAGAGACCAGAATGTAACAGTTGTAGTTCCTGTCTCTCTGTTTAACAGTATGTGTCAAATGTCTGTGTCCTGCAGGTGGCCGAGCAGCTGTTTGTTAAAGGAGGACGCATTAAAGACGCCATCGACATGTACACGACAGCAGGACGCTGGGAGGACGCACACAAGGTCTGAGACTAAGACTGTGTATTAGGACTGGACGAACTGAGTGTGACATCACCACAGTGGGATATTGCAGGCTGACTTAACTTAATGCGGAAGAAGTTGATTTAAACATAAGCTGGAGCCGATTTCCTTATATGGGATTTTCTTCCAAGGGCATTTTGTAATAAAAGAAGCTTTCTAGTTTCTCTCTCTTGTCTCTCTCTGCGATATCGATGGTCTTTCTCTGATCTCCCTGGTCTCTCTCTGGTCTCTCTCTGGTCTCTCTCTGGTCTCATGCCTCTGTATTGATCCACAGCTTGCAGTAAAGTGTATGAACGAGGAGGAGGTGCGAGCTCTCTACGCCAGCAGAGCTCAGGAAATGGAGACAGAGGGAAAGTTCAAGGAGGCGGAACGGTGAGTCCTCCTGCTGGCTCGGGTCTAAGCGGGTATAAGCAGGTGTAAGTGTGCTAAACCTCTTTGTGCAGGTTGTACTCTGCGGTGAAGCAGCCGGACATGGCCATCAGTATGTACAAGAAGAACAGGATGTTTGACGATGTGATTCGCCTCGTGGCAAAGAACCATCCAGACCTGCTGAGCGAGACCCACCTACACCTGGCCAAGGTGAGGACTAAAGCAGGTCTAAAGCAGGACTAAATCAGGTCTAAATCAGGTCTAAATCAGGTCTAAAGCAGGTCTAAAGCAGGTTCTAAAGCAGGTCTAAAGCAGGTTCTAAAGCAGGTCTAAAGCAGGACTAAAGCAGGTCTAAAGCAGGACTAAAGCAGGTTCTAAAGCAGGTCTAAAGCAGGACTAAAGCAGGACTAAAGCAGGTCTAAAGCAGGTTCTAAAGCAGGTCTAACGCAGGTCTAAAGCAGGACTAAAGCAGGACTAAAGCAGGACTAGAGCAGGACTAGAGTAGGACTAGAGCAGGACTAGAGTAGGACTAAAGCAGGACTAGAGCAGGACTAGAGCAGGACTAGAGCAGGACTAGAGCAGGACTAGAGCAGGTCTAAAGCAGGTCTAAAGCAGGTCTAAAGCAGGTCTAACGCAGGTCTAAAGCAGGTTCTAAAGCGGGTCTAAAGCAGGTTCTAAAGCAGGTCTAAAGCAGGACTAAAGCAGGTTCTAAAGCAGGTTCTAAAGCAGGACTAAAGCAGGACTAAAGCAGGTCTAAAGCAGGTTCTAAAGCAGGTCTAAAGCAGGACTAAAGCAGGACTAAAGCAGGACTAGAGCAGGACTAAAGCAGGACTAGAGCAGGACTAAAGCAGGACTAGAGCAGGACTAGAGCAGGACTAAAGCAGGACTAAAGCAGGACTAAAGCAGGACTAAAGCAGGACTAAAGCAGGACTAAAGCAGGACTAAAGCAGGACTAAAGCAGGTCTAAAGCAGGTCTAAAGCAGGTTCTAAAGCAGGTCTAAAGCAGGACTAAAGCAGGACTAAAGCAGGTCTAAAGCAGGTTCTAAAGCAGGTCTAACGCAGGTCTAAAGCAGGACTAAAGCAGGACTAAAGCAGGACTAGAGCAGGACTAGAGTAGGACTAGAGCAGGACTAGAGTAGGACTAAAGCAGGACTAGAGCAGGACTAGAGCAGGACTAGAGCAGGACTAGAGCAGGACTAGAGCAGGTCTAAAGCAGGTCTAAAGCAGGACTAAAGCAGGTCTAAAGCAGGTCTAACGCAGGTCTAAAGCAGGTTCTAAAGCGGGTCTAAAGCAGGTTCTAAAGCAGGTCTAAAGCAGGACTAAAGCAGGTTCTAAAGCAGGTTCTAAAGCAGGACTAAAGCAGGACTAAAGCAGGTCTAAAGCAGGTTCTAAAGCAGGTCTAAAGCAGGACTAAAGCAGGACTAAAGCAGGACTAGAGCAGGACTAAAGCAGGACTAGAGCAGGACTAAAGCAGGACTAGAGCAGGACTAGAGCAGGACTAAAGCAGGACTAAAGCAGGACTAAAGCAGGACTAAAGCAGGACTAAAGCAGGACTAAAGCAGGACTAAAGCAGGACTAAAGCAGGACTAAAGCAGGACTAAAGCAGGTCTAAAGCAGGTCTAAAGCAGGTCTAAAGCAGGACTAAAGCAGGTCTAAAGCAGGTCTAAAGCAGGTCTAACACAGGTTCTAAAGCAGGTCTAAAGCAGGTCTAAAGCAGGTCTAAAGCAGGTCTAAAGCAGGTCTAAAGCAGGACTAAAGCAGGTCTCTGGCTGCAGGAGCTGGAGCTGGAGAGCCGCTTCTCGGAGGCGGAGCATCACTTCATGGAGGCCGGAGACTGGAAAGCAGCGATCAGCATGTTCCGCGCTCACAGTCTGTGGGAGGAGGCGCACCGGGTGAGGCTTTATCACATTCTGCTATTGTTGTGGTTTGAAAGTTAAGTACCTGAGCTTAAAGCTCTATATAAAACCGATGTATTATTATTATTATTATTATTATTAAACGCAATAAACCCATTATTGTGTTAGTGAGCACTTCTTTGTCAAGATGATCCACTCCAGGTGTGTGAATGTTGCTGTGTCTGTTGCAGGTTGCTAAGAGCCACGGAGGCCCCAGTGTACAGAAGCAGGTGGCGTATCTGTGGGCCAAAGATCTGAGGGGAGAAGCCGCCGTCAAACTACTGTCACGCTATGGTCTGGTGGAGTACGCCATCGAGTTCGCCTGCAACGACCTGTGAGACACGGTTACACACTGTACTGACAGTTACTCACACATGCACACAGTTTCACACATTAGTCTCTCTAGTCTCTCTCTCTGGTCTCTCTCTCTGGTCTCCCTTTGTCTCTCTCTCTGGTCTCTCTCTCCTCTGTTTGGGACGCCTCCCTGTGGAGACCCTCCAGGCCTCAGTCTGTTGTGTCTCTTTCAGAACGTTTGAGTTTGCCTTTGAACTGGCTCAGCTCGCTGCCAAAGACAAGGTCCCAGAGGTGCACCTGAAGACCGCCATCTACCTGGAGGACGAGGTAATGAGGAGAACATGCAAAATCACATACACACGTACACACATCACAGCTTTAACCATGCTGTGTTTTCACCCAGGGCAAGTTCCCCGAGGCTGAAGCCGAGTTCATTAAGGCGGGAAAACCCAAGGAAGCCGTGCTCATGTAAGTCTGAACCAGGACTGGGACCAGACCACTTAAAGCTGAGGTACATAACTTTAGTCTCAGACATAACACGTGTTTGAACGAAAAGAGTCTTTACAAGTAAAATATTACCAGAGCTGATTGGCTGAGTGAGGGTGGTCCTCTCTTTTATCCAAAGATGTGACATCACATATACATGAAACTAGCGACAGAAGCAAATGTTTTAGAACCAGAACTTGAGACATGAGTTTAAGACAGAGTTCTGTTGGTCAGAAAGTTACAGAACCCAGCTGTGATTGTGTCTGTGTGTGTGTTCTCTTGTGTGTCTCACATGTGTGTGTCTGACATGGTTGTGTTGCAGGTACATTCACACTAAAGACTGGCCCAGTGCGCAGCGTGTGGCGGAGGCCTATGACCCTCTCAGTGTCAATGAGGTCCTTGAGTCTGAGGCCACAGAGTGTTTCGCTCAGAGAGACTTCAGCCGAGCAGAGACTCTGTTACTGAGGGCACAGAGACCTGAGCTCACTGTGCAGCTATACAAGGTCTATACTACACACACGCACGCACGCACGCACGCACGCACGCACGCACGCACGCACGCACGCACGCACGCACACACACACACACACACACACACACACACACACACACACACACACACACACACACACACACACACACACACACACACACACACACACACACACACACACACACACACAGGCACACACAAGCGCACACACACACACAGGCGCACACACACACACACTGGAGCACACACACACACACACACACACACACACACACACAGGCACACACAAGCGCACACACACACACAGGCGCACACAGGCGCACACACACACACACACTGGAGCACGCACACACACTGACACACACACAGTAGCACATAGAGACCTGAGCTGACTCTGCAGCTCTGCAAGGAGAATCCAGTTTCTCTCTAGTCTCTCTCTGGTCTCTCTCTCTTGTCTCTCTCTAGTCTCTCTCTAGTCTCTCTCTAGTCTCTCTCTCTAGTCACTCTCTGGTCTCTCTCTGGTCTCTCTCTGGTCTCTCTGACTTCTGTGTTCTTGCAGAATGCTCACATGTGGAGTGACGCTCTGAGGATCTGTAAAGAGTTTCTCCCAAACCATCTGTCCAAACTGCAGGAGGAGTTCGAACAGGACGCCTCCAAGAAGGGGAACAAGTACAAACCATTTTTGCTGTATAAACTGATCCCTCTCTCGTCTCTCTCTGACCTCCCTCTGGTCTCCCTTCTCTCTCTGGTCTCTCTCTGATCTCTCTCTGATGCTATGGTAATTGTCTTCAGTGGAGCAGAGGTCCTCCTGGAACAGGCCAGAGAGTGGGAGGCCGCAGGAGAACATCTCAGAGCAGTGGACTGTTACCTCAAAGTGAACGACGAGAGCAAACTGCAAGAGAAGTGCTGGATGAAGGTATGGACTCTCAAGACACATGAGGAGCACCATGAGGAGCACCATGAGGAGCACCATGAGGAGAACCATGAGGAGAACCATGAGGAGAACCATGAGGTGAACCATGAGGGTGACTGTCCCTTGTGTCTTGTGTCCTCAGGCAGCAGAGTTGTCCATAAAATTCCTGTCTCCTGAGAAGGCTGTGGAGGTGGTGAAGCTGGTGGGCCCTCGCCTGGCCAGGCTGAGGCAGTTTAAAGCTGTGAGAACCATATAGACACACACAGACACACACACACACACACACACACACACAACAGGGTTCTAATGGTTGCCCCTCTGGTCTCAGGCCGCAGAGCTGTATATGAACGTGGACCTGATCCGAGAAGCTGTCGACGTCTTCATCTACGGAGAAGAGTGGAACAAGGCCAAGAGGGTCGCCAAGGAGATGGACCCCAGGTGAGGCTGAGGAGGTGGTGCCCAAGTGAGGCTTAGGCTGAGGAGGTGGACCCCGAGTGAGGAGGTGGACCCCAGCTGAGAGAGAGAGAGTTGAAGGTGACGTCCAGGTGCATTACTGTCACTCCGAGTTTGTTCAAGTCCTGCTTTCTCCCTCTGGGCCTCACTGAACAGAGATAGGGGAGAGGGGGGAGACGGGGGAGTCGGTGTCTTCACTGGTCAGAGTTAGGGTCGATGTTGTGGCCTGATTTGTTTACAACATTTTACTTAGAAGACTCTTTCTATTGAACAAAATGTTGTTATCTATGATGAGACTAAAGCTTTAACTTCTGCTTAATCAGTACTAAAATCTTTTTACCTCAGACTGGAGGACTATGTGGACCAGAAATACAAGGAGCACCTGAAGAACCAGGGACAAGTCGAGTCGGTGAGAATTGTCTTTATAAAGGGAATCAGCTCAAGATGTGAGAGACATTGGCTTTAATGTGTATATGTGTGTCAGCTGGCCGGGATCGACGTCATGGCAGCCTTGGACATGTACGCAGAAAGAGGCCAGTGGGAGAAGTGTCTAGAGACCGCTTCCAAACAGGTGAGAGACCAGAGAGGGACCAGAGAGGGACCAGAGAGGGACCAGAGAGGGACCAGAGAGAGAGACCAGAGAGAGAGAGACCAGAGAGGGACCAGAGAGAGGGACCAGAGAGAGGGACCAGAGAGAGACCAGAGAGAGGGACCAGAGAGAGGGACCAGAGAGAGGGACCAGAGAGAGGGACCAGAGAGAGGGACCAGAGAGAGACCAGAGAGAGGGACCAGAGAGAGGGACCAGAGAGAGGGACCAGAGAGAGAGACCAGAGAGAGAGACCAGAGAGAGAGACCAGAGAGAGAGACCAGAGAGAGAGACCAGAGAGAGAGACCAGAGAGAGAGACCAGAGCGAGAGACCAGAGCGAGAGACCAGAGCGAGAGACCAGAGCGAGAGACCAGAGCGAGAGACCAGAGCGAGAGACCAGAGCGAGAGACCAGAGCGAGAGACCAGAGCGAGAGACCAGAGCGAGAGACCAGAGCGAGAGACCAGAGCGAGAGACAAGAGCGAGACCAGAGCGAGAGACCAGAGGGTTGTGTTTCATAGTGTGTGATGGTTTCTGTGTTATTCCCTCAGAACTTTAAGATCCTGCACAAATACATAGCTCTGTATGCGACTCAGCTGATCAAAGAGGAGGAGCCAGTGAAAGCGCTGCAGCTGTACGTCACACATGGAGCTCCGCCCAACAGCCAGGTGAGCGCCACATGGTCTGTTCACTTCCTGGTATTGGACTATGGCATCACTTATGTCATCTTTGTTGGCCCCTGCTCTACTTCCTGTACATTTCATCAGTGATAAACTATTATTTGACTCCTCCCGCATCTTTCCTCTCCCCTCCTCCTCCCCCCCTCTTTCCCCCTCTCCTCTCTCCCTGCTCTTTCCTCTCTACCCTCCTCTTTCCCCTATCTCCTCTCTCTGCCTTCTCTCCCCTCTCTCTCCCCTTCCCTTTCCCCTCTCTCTCCTCTCTCTCCCCTCTCTTTCTCTCTCACCTTTCCCCTCTCTCCTCTCTCTGCCCTCTCTCTTCTGTCTCTGCCCTCTCTTTCTCTCTCCTCTCTCCTCTCTCTCCTCTCTCTGCCCTCTCTCTTCTGTCTCTGCCCTCTCTCCCCTCTCTTTCTCTCTCCCCTTTCCCCTCTCTCCTCTCTCTGTGTTTGTGTTTCAGAACTTCAACATCTACAGGCGTCTGTTTGTGGATGTGGTGAACCTGCCGCACACAGACTCAGTTGAAGGGTACCGTGTGTGGGCCGACCTGCGGGACGTCCTGCTGCAGCTGGTACCAACCCTCACCATACTCTCACCATACTCTCACCATACTCTCACCATACTCTCGCCATACTCTAATACTCTCACCATACTCTCACCATACTCCCGTACTCTCACCATACTCTCACAATACTCTCATCATACTCTAATACTCTCACCATACTCTCACTATACTCTCATACTCTCACAATACTCTCATCATACTCTAATACTCTCATACTCTCACCATACTCTCATACTCTCAAAATACTCTCACCATACTCTAATACTCTCACCATACTCTCACCATACTCTCACCATACTCTCACCATACTCTCACCATACTCTCATACTCTCACCATACTCTAATACTCTGACCATACTCTCACCATACTCTCACCATACTCTCATACTCTCACCATACTCTAATACTCTGACCATACTCTCACCATACTCTCACCATACCCTCAGCTTTAAAGTTTCAGACCCGAGCTTTAAAGTACAATGTGCAGACCTCTTGTGTTCTTCGTACAGTGTGATAATATTTCCAAATCGGGTGAGGCGGACTCTGCAGCTCACCACGACTTTGAGCAGATGCTGCTGATCGCTCACTACTACGCTACAAGATCTGCAGCGAAAGGAGTCTCTCAACTGGTACCTACTCTCATCTCTCTCTTCTTTACCCTCTCTCTCCTCTCTCCTCTCCTATCTAATCCTCCTCACTTCCACTCCTCTGCTCCACAGTCTCTCTTCTCCTCTCTCACCTCCTCTTCACCCTCTCTCCTCCTCCTCCCTCCTCTTCCTTATCCCCTCTCTCTTCTCTCCTCCTCACCCTCTCTCCTCTCCTCCACAGTCTCCCCTGGCCTGTATGCTGTCGGTGTCTCTCCTCCGTCACACAGAGATGGTTCCTGCAGACAAAGCGTTCTTCGAGGCGGGCTCCGACTGCAGGGTAACGAGAGAGATGGTTTAGCAGCGTCCTGGAGTGTGTGTGTCGAGCTCCGGTGATCTAAGATGGCGCCCTATTCAAATCAATGACTTGTGCTCAGTCGCACATGGGACATACAAGGGGGACAAAAGATTAGCGGAACTTGCCCATACTGTATTTGGGCATCGTCTGGTCCTCCCGGTTCTGCGCAGTGGACGAGCTCCCATGATGCTTTGTGCCAAATACGCGTGTGTGGCTCTCATGCACGTGCACAGAGGGGCTCGGCCGCCCTCTGACCAATCAAAGCTGCTGATCAGGGCAGAGTTAGAGCAGAATTAGAGCGGGAGCCAAACAGAGCAGAGTTAGTGGCTCTAAAGTGTGGATTTAAAGAAAACTGACAGATTTAAGAAGAAAAAAGTTCAGGATGGCAAGGGACACAAAAATCCCCTATAAATCGACCTTTATGAAAGCTGTAGGTTCTCTGTCAGCTGAGGTGGAGCTGTTTTAGTTTAAATTGACTTTTCTGGGTAGTGAATTTAGACTGCAGTACCACGAGTGCTCCCGGTGCCTGTGAGTGGGACAGCTATAAGCTAATAATACCCAATCTAGTTATTATAAGATCTATGGTGTGTATGTGTATGTGTGTGTGTTGCAGACTGTGTCCTGGAGACTCACGTGTGTGTGTGTGTGTTTCAGACGGAAGGCTGGAACAACATGGCCTTCGTCTTCCTCAATCACTTCCTGGATCTGTGCGATGTGAGTCCATCACTAGCACACTCACAGTTAGAGGAGACAGGGCCTTTCTCTGCTGTTTATAGTAGTTATAACATGCACGTCTCCCTAGTCTCCCTCTGGTCTCCCTCTGGTCTCCCTCTGGTCTCTCTCACTCTCACTCTCTGGTCTCTCTTCAGGCTGTGGAGGAGGGCTCTCTGGATGGACTGGACCACTCAGACTTCATGGATACGGACATTCCCTTCGAAGTCCCGGTTCCCTGTAAACTCTACGTCTCAGTAAGGACCAGCTTTAAAGAACAAAGCTTTGATCTTGAGAATGTGTTGTGTTCTAGAAGGTGACAGTGTGGATGAACATGTGAGAGACGAGGAACCATCAGAGAGAAGAGAACCGGGCCCAGGGTCGATCCTTGTGGGATCCTAGAGAATAATCCTATTTTAGCTGCTTGACTGAAACTTTTAAACATGTTCTGAGTTTAATTGTAGTCAGCTTGTCTCCACATTAGGTCTTTGTGGTGAGGTTTGCATGTTCTCCTCGTCCCCAGGAGGAGCAGAGGGAGCAGGTGCGGGACTGGGTCTTGATGGTCTCCATGGACCAGCGGCTGGAGCAGGTTTTACCCCGAGACGAGAGGAACTGTTACGAGGCTGCATTGACGTCTCCAAGTACAGGACTGACCTCCCTGCCCTGTGTGATCACTGGTGAGACTAATGATACTGCTGCTACTGCTGGTACTGCTGGTACTGCTGGTACTGCTGCTACTGCTGGTACTGCTGGTACTGCTGCTACTGCTGCTACTGCTGCTACTGCTGCTACTGATGCTACTGCTGCTACTGCTGCTACTGATGCTACTAGTGCTACTGGTGCTACTGATGCTACTGGTGCTACTGGTGCTACTGCTGCTACTGCTGCTACTGCTGCTACTGCTGCTACTGCTGCTACTGCTGCTACTGCTGCTACTGATGCTACTGGTGCTACTGATGCTACTGGTGCTACTGGTGCTACTGGTGCTACTACTGATGCTACAGTGTGTGTGTGTGTGTGTGTGTGTGTAGCAGTGTGTGTGTAACAGTGTGTGTGTGTGTGTGTGTAACTGTGTGTGTGTAACAGTGTGTGTGTGTAACTGTGTGTGTGTGTAACTGTGTGTGTGTGTGTGTAACTGTGTGTATGTGTAACTGTGTGTGTGTGTGTGTGTAACAGTGTGTATGTGTAACTGTGTGTGTGTGTGTGTGTGTAACAGTGTGTGTGTGTGTAACTGTGTGTGTATTGCAGGGTACCCCGTCCTCAGGAACCAGCTGGAGTTTTCCTCTGGACGAGCTGCGAACAAAGACGACTGGAACAAGTTCCTCATGGCCACAAAGGTTCACTTCACTTTACTCTTTTTAGAATCATGAAGATATTTTGACCAAACAATGACTTTTAATGAATAAGAGTTTGATGTATTTGAGCTGCTGTGATTGAAACACAACTGTGTTGTCGTCTTCTACCTATGCTGCTTTTGATACTATTATCTTTAAAACCATGCATTACATCAACCAGCGCTGACGTGACAGTGTGATATCCACCAGGGGGCGACAGACCTGTTGTGTGTTTGCTTGACCCTGCTGTGTGTCTGCTTGACCCTGTTGTGTGTCTGCTTGACCCTGTTGTGTGTCTGCTTGACCCTGTTGTGTATCTCCACAGACGTCTCACAGCCCTGAGTGTCAGGACGTGCTCAAGTTTGTGGGACAGTGGTGCGGAGCTCAGCCTGGACAAGGATTCTCTTTCCACTGATACACACAGAGACACACACACACACACAAATACCACTATTTTTGTAACATATTTATACAGAGACAGATACACACAAATAATTTAATGACAAAACTCCTCTATTTCTGGTTTGTATCAGATTTCTGTTTTATGCTGTTGTCTCTGAAAATTCGTGTTTTAGTAAGAAATAAATAATGAACCAAAGACTTTATTTCTGTATTTTTATTTTTTTTTAAAGCAGAGAAAACAACAGTAAAGTGTCGATAGAAATGATACAGATGTTACCAGCTGTGAAGGTGGAATATGGTTAGAGCTGGACCATGAGACAACACCAGGAAGAACACACTTTGATGCAGATGATACATTTCTTTAAAAAGGCAGAAAAGATAAAGAACCACGTTTGCAAAAAGGTGACTGAGACCGACACAAGCTCCCACGACCATGAACGGGGCCTCTCTCTGGTCTCATTCTGGTTTCTCTCTCTGGTCTCTCTCTGGTCTCATTCTGGTTTCTCTCTCTGGTCTCTCTCTGGTCTCATTCTGGTTTCTCTCTCTGGTCTCTCTCTGGTCTCTCTCTGGTCTCATTCTGGTTTCTCTCTCTGGTCTCTCTCTGGTCTCTCTCTGGTCTCATTCTGGTCTCTCTCTCTGGTCTCTCTCTAGTCTCATTCCGGTTTCTCTCTCTAGTCTCTCTCTGGTCTCATTCCGGTTTCTCTCTCTAGTCTCTCTCTGGTCTCTCAACTGTTTGAGAGACAGGAACTAGAACTCTGTTTTATGCATGTACCCCTCGCTGTAAGGAGGTCTCTCTCTCTGGTCTCTCTCCCTATCTCTTCCGCCTTCTTTGTGGTGAGGAGGCATCTCTTTTTGGTCTCTCGCTGTGCGGAAGGCTCTCTCTCTGGTCTCTCTCGCTGTGCGGAGGTTTCTCTCTCTGGTCTTTTTTACTGTGAGGAGGTCTCTCTCGCTGTGCAGAGGTCTCTCTCTTGGCATTCACCGCGTGCCTTAATTGTGTAGAATTTAAATCAAGGTCCGCTGTGAACACGAAAAGAAGCGACCCAAAATCCCCTGTGTCCGGGTTCACCCTGATGCCCTCCCAGACAGGGCTCCAGGAAACATGCCAGATTAAATCTGCAAGCGGCATCGAGTGCACCGCCACAGTCTCACCACGGCTGCTTATAATATTTTCAGATCTTTGTACATTTTTAACCTCCACCCCTTGGAGCACCGTGAACGTGGTCTCGTCGATGGCCCTGCAGGCTCCGCTCAGACCGCAGAGCAAGTTAGCAATCAGCAGATATTGTGTGCCGTAGACTCATCCGCGTATCAAAGTTTTAGTATAAGTAAAGCTAAAAACTGGGTGTTACTTAAAGCTGGGGTTTGTAACTTTCAGTCCACAACAATAAAGCAACTAGAAATATGGAACCTATTACAGAGTTTACTTCTATGACAAGTTTTTACATGCATATAGAGACCAAAGAGAGAGAGAGACCAGAGAGAGAAACCAGAAAGAGCGAGAAATCAGGGAGAGAGACCAAAGAGAGAGAGAGATACCAGAGAGAGGGAGAGAAACCAGAGAGAGAGAGAGACCAGGGAGGAAACCAGAGAGATGGACCAGGGAGAGAGACAAGAAAGAGAAACCAGAGAGAAAGAGACCACGGAGCGAAACCAGAGAGAGAGACCATATGTTGTAGTCTGCTTTGTTCACAATATTAAGACGCTTTCTGTTTAAACAATGCATGGTTTCACAAAGTTAGGTTCCTCAGCTTTAGGTCCTTTGTGAACCAAACAACACGATCTAACACTATATGAACACATGGTTTTACAGGTGTTTTCTTTAATCCTGGTTTTCGGTTTAGTCTCGTGACGTTTTAAACACTTCTCTGGATCAAACCCACATCCACTCGCGCGCTGCTCAAAAGCACATCGGTACCTTTGATATGCAAATGAACCGCTTCCAACGGATTCTTCGTCTTTGTCTCGTGCGGATGTGAACGTTCCGATTCCAATCCGATTCCTTTTTTTTATTTTGTATTTTGTTTATTGTTTATTTATTTTTAATCAGAATCAGACGCGCAGAGACTATTATTATCACCGCGTTCAAAGGCTTTGGGTTTGGCTGCGGTGCGATGCAACCTGTGTTTCTGCAGGTGTGGAGCTGCGCAGAGAGGCCCGCATCCACACGAACCCTGACTGATGGGGCTATTTAACACAAGGTCATCCAGCTTCTGCCTCTTTAAAATACATTTGAACCAGTTTAACATTACAAGCCATGATGTCCTCTACGATTCAAGACGTGTTAATAAACTGTCACATTATCTTGTGTGCAGATCTTTGGAACTATTTTAATATTTGCTGCAATTGATGTCTCCTTAAACACACACAACGCCTTTTGATATATCTGCTACACACTACAAAGGCGTGTATAGACATAAAGCTATGTACACACATGGCTGCGTACAGAGCAGGCTACACACCGCACTTACTATTTGACGACGCCCCGAGCATTAAATGTAACTAACTATTATCACAGCTGTTTAGTGTTTCAGCGTCTACACTAAATATGACTTCCCTGGGATTGTGTCAGCGCGGGCCTGACGCTGCAGCTCCGGCCCTGCAGATGTACCTTCACTGTAAGTTCAAAGCCAGCGGCAGATGGATGAAGCTGCGACACTGCGGCGTTTTCTGGAGCTCGTCTCTGGCGCAAAACCAGCGGCAGAAAAACATAAAACCCGTACGCGTCAAAAAACGACCCCGCGTCCCTCCCGTCATTTGCATACGATACATGTCATTAAAACAGGACTGCGATGGAGAAACGCTCACTAATATCATCAGTGTGTGATGGTGGAAGAGTCCTGGAGGAAGTCAGGGGGAGATGGGTGGACGTGCACCCAAGATTGACGCTCTATTCCCGGGTTGGACTGATGCGAAGGATCGTAGTAAGAAGAGAAAGCCGGAGCTGGGGGGATGCTGATGCTGCAGCAGAGGTCGCTGCGTCCTTGGCTCCATTTCGATCCACGCTCGTGGCTAAAACGCGAGGAAAATGTGTAAAAAAAAAAATAGGCTAAAAATAAAACATATCTAAACAGAGAGTGAGAGGGTCCGGTGTGCGCTGCGGGACCGCGGGAGAATCCGTGATTATCCGTGAATGTGAAGAGATGGCGCTGCTGCAGTGATGGGGGAGAGAGGAGAGGATGCGGAGAAGGTGATGGGGGAGAGAGGGGAGGGGTGAGGGGGAGGCTGGATGTGGAAAGACTAGAGCGCGCATGCGGGCTGCGGAGGAGGAGGGGAGGCCATGTTGGAAGTGGACAGAAAGCATTAAAGCTGCGGTACGTAAAGTTGGAACGATACAATAAATACATGTGTGTTTCGATATGTCACTAATTCCCGGCTATAAAACAGTTTGCGAGAGAAAGAGAGAGAGACCAGAGGGAGAAAGAGACCAGGGGGAGAGAGACCAGAGGGAGAGAGACCAGAGGGAGAGAGACCAGAGGGAGAGATAGACCAGAGGGAGAGAGAGACCAGAGGGAGAGATAGACCAGAGGGAGAGAGAGACCAGAGGGAGAGAGAGACCAGAGGGAGAAAGAGACCAGGGGGAGAGAGACCAGGGGGAGAGAGACCAGGGGGAGAGAGACCAGAGGGAGAAAGAGACCAGGGGAGAGAGACCAGAGGGAGAGAGACCAGAGGGAGAAAGAGACCAGGGGGAGAGAGACCAGGGGGAGAGAGACCAGGGGGAGAGAGAGACCAGAGGGAGAGAGAGACCAGAGGGAGAAAGAGACCAGGGGAGAGAGACCAGAGGGAGAAAGAGACCAGGGGGAGAGAGACCAGAAAGAAAGAGACCAGAGGGAGAGCGAGAACAGTGTATCTGTAAATAGTAAATAATTTAATATACTGTATGATGACAACTGTTGTGATGAACTGAATTGAATATAATTTGTTATCAACGACATTTTAATCATTTGAACAACATGATCCAACTGTAGAAACATTTTAAGGCAGAGGATATGACAAAAACATGATGTGGAAGGACCAATTGTAATCTGAATTTAGAAGCACTGCTAACCACTTGCTTCATGTCGTGTTGTCATACTGACCATAACTGACAATTTTAGAACGAAAGACTCAGATATTTGGATGTCATTTAAAGTGAGGAGCAAAAGTAAAAGGTGTTCGAAAATGGCTTTGATATGGGCTCTATGCACGCACCACTTCCGTGTTTTAGCTACTACCCCACTTCACTTCCTGTTCGCGGGAAACGGCTTGAGTTTCACCTGAGTCCAGCAGTGGTTTACACGAGTTTCCTAAATAATCCTCAAACGGGAATTAAACTGTGAGGACACTGGGCATTTTTGGGACACAGCAGTGCTCTTTGATTGTGCTGTCATTGTGTTTTTATATAGTTTACAAAAAAAGCCATAGGATAGCATAGGCAGGAAGTGAACGGGCTGTGCTTTGTTAACCGGAAATGACGTCAGGCCTCCCCGTGCATGTAGCCCATCGGGACAAAACACTTTTAATCTGACAGAAACACACGTCGTAATATCATAACAGTTGAAACACACACAGCCACAAAATAGTTCCTTCTGGAGATAAACGCAGACTCAGGTCAAAGCTCCAGTTTGACAGAATGTATTTATTACTGGGTGGAATATTGTGTAAAACAGGTGTCATAACAGATCCTTGTGTAACTGCTAATGCTAATGCTAACAGCTAACTGCTCCTCCATCTCCTCCCGGGTCCATGGTCCTCTCCTCCCCGAGACTTAGACTCCTCTGGCGGCACTTGGTCAACAGTCGGATGGGAGACATGGGCTCCAAAGCACAGATGCCCACCGCAGAGAGTGCACTGCCCGGCCGCACGGACAGCTCCATGAAAGTGTCCGGTAAGTCTGATTCTTTAGCTTTAGCATGTGTTAGCTTCTGCTGTTATGAGACTGAATCTTGGCGATTTTATTTTCACTTGAACCCATTTGACTAAAACTATACTTCTATTTGAGCTACAAAACGTTAAGTATTCAAAACATTGAACAAAAATACTGGATTTTTTTAAAATAAAGGATAACTTCCCGAGTGTTAAAGAAACTCGACCTCTGCGCATGCGTGATATTCCACGCTTTTATAAAACTACATGGGATGTGTATTATTCAGTGTTGGGCACGTTACTTTGAAAAAGTAATTAGTTATAGTTACTAGTTACTTCTCCCAAAAAGTAACAGTTACTAACGGAGTTACTCCACTATAAAAGTAACTAGTTACCAGTAAAAGTAACTATTGCGTTACTTTTTCGTTTTGTTCTGGAACATAATGTGCACCTTTAACAGTGCCAATATTTCCATCTAGAAAAGGCTGTTTTGCTGCTGAAGTCCTGTTCACTCTTCATCTCTCTCTGTGCACTAAGCACTAAACACCAACACGCTCCACTGTGAATGTGGAAACACCGGTGACGAGCGGTGAGGCTGGTGAAGCACTGACTTCAGTCCAATCAGATGAACATATACATCATATAAATCAAGTGGACAATTTGTTTGGCTACAGCAAAATATGTTTTATGCCCGCATTGTGTGTTCATACAAAACGCAAAACTATGAGTTATGGGTCTTACCTTATAGCTATACCTTATAAATGACCTGCACAGTGCACTTCGGTTCAGACCAGTTCCTTGTTTAAATCCAGTGAATGGTTTGAGCGTAGATATGTAATCCTCCATTTGGAAATGAGTCCAATGAGTTTTAAAAAGTAAAACAAAACGCGTGTGTCCTCCGTAAACTCCTCTGTTTTGCTGCAGCCGGCTGCATCCAATTTCTAAAATCAACTGTCTACACTTCACCTCTCTTTCTTATCATTCCTATAGTAATTGAAAAATTACCCTATGTGCATTTTAGATTATGTAAAAATGTGTTATATGTATGTTAGCCAAACCTGTTGCTGTCCTTAGCAGATAAACCAGGAAGAGCAAGGAGCTTATCGATGGAATTGTATGCAGCCGACTTCTGCGCTCACATGCGCTCCTCTGAGGCTGACCTCACGGTGATACAAGCCGTGGTTGAGCGCGATTAAGACCCATATTTGTTTCAAAAACACAATTTATGAGCCATCCTCTCAACTGTAGACATGTAGATTGTAAAGGAAATATGTTTTACATCAGCCAATAATTGCTGAGAGGTTTTCTCAATTCTCATCCTCCCTTCTCTCATGACAACACGTTCATTGTGCGTCTTGAGTAACGCGCAGTAACGGGATGTCGGAAATGATAACTGCGTTATAGTTACTGTCAAAGTAATTAGTTAGATTACTCGTTACTGAAAAAAGTAACGGCGTTATTCCCATCACTGGTATTATTTAGTATTTTTTATTATACAAGTTCAATATGATTATTAGTGTCTAATTACTACACTGTACAATACACCCACGGAGTCGACGCGAGTATTCACTGACTAGGCCCAGCCGAAGGTACATTTAAATGCCCTGAATATAATTATTGGTGTTGGTTTTTTATTTTAGATAAACATGACGTGAACGGGAACAGAACCGTCCCTCCTTTCCCCGAGGGCACAGAGAGCGTCATCTTTGGTGAGTGATCCAGGCTCAATGAGAAAAATACAGTATTAATACAGTTTCATAATTTTCTGATGTAGGATGATCTGGTACATTTCTGCACATTTATTAACATTTATGGATAGCGATCATTTTGGACCAATGGATCCTGAATGTTTCTATATGTTGACTATTGTGATTTAAGTCTCTCTCTGGTCTCTCTCTCTGGTCTCTCTCTCTGGTCTCTCTCTGTACTGACCTGTAGGGGTGCTGTTGCAGGTATGGGATGTTTCTGGGGGGCGGAGCGTAAATTCTGGAAGCAGCAGGGCGTGTACTCCACTCAGGTGGGCTACGCTGGAGGCTACACCCCCAACCCCAGCTACAAGGAGGTCTGCACAGGTACCAGAGCCAGATCAAGACCTGACCAAGACCTGACCCAGCACTGACCCAGACCCTGCAGTGGACTGTGTGTGATGTAAGTTGGGTCTCTTTGGTCTCAGGGCAGACGGGACACGCTGAGGTGGTGAGAGTCATCTTCTTCCCAGAGAAAATTAGCTTCTCCAAACTCCTCAAAGTGTTCTGGGAGAGTCACGACCCCACGCAGGGTAAGACCTGTCCCACCACGAGAGAGGGTTCTAAACACGGACTTGCTCTCTCTGTTCTCTCTCTCTCTGCCCTCTGTCTCTCTGGTCACCCTGTGGTGAAACACAGGTCCAAACCACACGCCCATCTTTCCCGCTGTTGTCTGTTGCAGGGATGCGTCAGGGGAACGACTGTGGGACGGCGTATCGCTCTGTGCTCTTCACCTCCACTCCTGAACACCAGCAACAGGCTCTGAGCTCCAGGGACCAGTACCAGAAGGTACCATCTGAGACCAGAGAGAGCAAGCGAGAGAGGCCAGAGAGAGCGAGAGAGGCCAGAGAGAGCGAGAGAGGCCAGGTTTTGTAAACTTACTGAAATGTGCTGTTTGAAGGTGGATCTGTTTTCTTTAGGTGCTGACGGCGGAGGGATACGGCCCCATCACCACTGAGCTCTCTGAGGGCAAGACCTTTTACTATTCAGAGGATTATCACCAGCAGTACCTGAGCAAGAACCCGGACGGGTACTGTGGTCTGGGGGGGACCGGGGTCTCCTGCCCCATAGGGAGGAGCCAGGACTGAGGGAGAGACCGAGGCCGAGACTGACCGAGGCGGAGACCAGGACCAGGACCGAGACTGGACCAGGACCGAGACTGAACCAGGACCGAGACCAGGGCCGAGGCGGAGACCAGGGCCGAGGCGGAGACCAGGGCCGAGGCGGAGACCAGGATGGAGGCAGAGACCAGGACCGTGACCAGGACTTTAAAGCTGGGGTGCGTAACATTTTACTTTCAGACTCTGTTGGACAAACTCCATGTTTTTGATGAGAGTGAAGTTATATACCCGAGCTTTAAAGGGACTTTAAAAAATCCGCATCATGCACTTGTGCTTCATGTGTTTGAGGCTGAGAGGCTTTAGTGAAAAACATGCCCTTATTTTGTTCTAAATAAATTATCTGAATGTGAGAGTTCTGTTCTTGTGTTTTAAATTAAAGTGAACCCGAACCCTCAGTCTTTACAACACTGCGCCCGTGTGGGCATTTCGGGAACTACACACATCCTCAGGAGAGACCAGAGAGAGACCAGAGAGAGAGGGAACGGTGGGAGAGAGACCAGAGAGAGAGAGGGACCAGTGAGAGGGACCAGTGAGAGAGACCAGTGAGAGAGAGACCAGTGAGAGAGGGACCAGAGAGAGAGGGAACGGTGGGAGAGAGACCAGAGAGAGACCAGAGAGAGAGGGACCAGTGAGAGAGAGACCAGAGAGAGAGGGACCAGTGAGAGAGACCAGAGAGAGAGCAGAGAGGGACCAGAGAGAGGGACCAGTCAGAGAGAGAGAGACTAGAGAGAGGGACCAGAGAGAGAGAGACCAGAGAGAGAGAGCAGAGAGAGACCCACAGTAACAAACCAAATTTCCTTTAAACCAAAGCATGTTCTTGCCATTAGTTTCTTTAGTTCGTTTCTGTAACTGGAGTTTTGGCCCATTCCTCTGGTGACATCATCATACAACCAGGAAGGGAAAGTGTATGATAAAAATAACGAACACCACGTGGAATAATTCTTGTGTTTTGTCTAGACTGCAAAAACAAAGTTGTTCACTTGGCAGAGTTTATTTCACATTTTTCCACAGAATAAAAACCAGATTTTCAAACGTGCTTCAGCAGCGGCTGTTGTGCATCGACTCGGATCAAAGAAAAACAACAAAACTGACTCTTGACACAACATTTCAGTTCAGGAAGTCGAGGCTCGTGTGACATAAGGAGAACCTCGGACTCATAGCCAAGAGCTGTGAGAGAAAGGACTTAAAAATAAATGTGTTTTGAATGAAATAGTAAATATCTTATTATTTTAAATGGAATTATTTTTTGCTTAAAAGAAAATTTACTTTTTGCACTCTCTCTCATTCAGGTTGCCAGATATTCAGATGAATCCAGTTGGGACCATAAAAACTGAATAGACAGGAGTTTTGTCAACAACAAATTTATAACCAACACCTTTTTCTCAAAGATAGAAACCTTTTTTAGTTCTGCAGCCACATGGTACTTTACCAGTATTTGAAAAGAGCATGTTTTATTAAAGCCTTTTGACAGATTAGGGCCATTTAATGATGACTTGACATAAAAATCTTACATATTGCTACGTTAAAGTACATTATTGTAAAAACGACTCAGAAGTTTCAGAATTCCACTTCTTGTTTTACGTTCTTCAATTCCACCATTATACTCCAATGTTTGTTTAAAAACTGTTTTCCTCATGAGTAAACGAGCCACAGGTTCATGTTGTGATGTCACACGTCAACAACTCATGGAAACACTATGATTTAATGATGAGGTGAGGAGGCAAACATTAGCTCACATTAGCATGTTCACTGTAGCGGTTAGCTTCTATGTGGGAACTTATTTACTCTATTGACAATAAACAGCGTCTAACATGTTAAACTTCTCTGACAACACACCTCATAGTCCTCATGTCTCTGTTCACATAAACCACAGCGGAGTGAGCGGCGTCCACATTCACTGGAGTGTTCTGGGTTCAAATGACTTCAACAAAGTAGGGGTTCATAGTCCAGAAATGACTAATTACAGTTTTATTGCTTCATTGTGGACCCATCCTGCACCCGGGCCTCTGTCCGGAGCAGTGGTCGCCGTAGTAACAGCTCCAGAGCAGGAGGGTTTACATTTTGTACATGTTTTTCAGTGGTAGGGGAAACTGGAGAACCTGGAAAAAACCTACGCAGGCACAGGGAGAACATGCAAACTCCACTCAGAAAGACCCTGTTCCGACTGGGATTCAAACCCAGGACCTTCTTGGTGAGAACAGATAAGAGAGCAGATATCACCTTTGTCTTAGCATCAATAGCATCGTTAGCAGCTTCAATTGTTACAAAACGTAGTGTGCACTAGAAGAAGGAAAAGTTTGGTTTGAACTTTCCTGTGTTTATTCCTAACGAGGTTAACATTTAAATCACTTTCTTCATGAAACTGGTATTTGTGATTTGTTTTGAGTGAAAAAGTCGCTAGTGTCGAAGCTGCGTCTGAAAATAGAGGACTCTCTGAAAACAGTAGAAAAATATCATGTTTTTTTATCACAGACAATTTGGGAAAAGAGACTCGTGTGAGACTTTAAAAAGGTTCCAAAGAGGAAAGGTGTCTGAATGTTTGGACCCGTGTCGGATGTAGGGCCAACAAACTTTCACTTTCAAAATGAGTCTTCTTTAAAGTCACGGCGCGAGACCAGAGACACGACAGAGAGAGAGACCAGAGAGAGAGAGAGACCAGAGGCACGACAGAGAGAGAGACCAGAGAGAGAGAGAGACCAGAGGCACGACAGAGAGAGAGACCAGAGAGAGAGAGAGACCAGAGACAGAGAGACCAGAGACACGACAGAGAGAGAGACCAGAGGCACGACAGAGAGAGAGAGACCAGAAACACGACAGAGAGAGAGACCAGAGACACGACAGAGAGAGAGACCAGAGAGAGAGAGAGACCAGAGGCACGACAGAGAGAGACCAGAGACAGAGACAGAGAGAGAGACCAGAGACAGAGACAGAGAGAGACCAGAGGCACGACAGAGACCAGAGACAGAGAGACCCGACAGAGAGAGAGAGACCAGAAACAGAGACAGAGAGAGAGACCAGAGACACGACAGAGAGAGACCAGAAACAGAGAGACCAGAGACACGACAGAGAGAGACACGACAGAGAGAGAGACCAGAGGCACGACAGAGAGACACGACAGAGAGAGAGACCAGAGGCACGACAGAGAGAGACACGACAGAGAGAGAGACCAGAGGCACGACAGAGAGAGACACGACAGAGAGAGAGACCAGAGGCACGACAGAGAGAGAGGGAGACCAGAGACACATTATAATGAACTTCTAAATTTCTCCCGTGGATCGATACAAACATTTTCCACAAGAGCAAATTCCTAAAGGAAACAGCAGCGAGTATTAAACCCATGTCTCTCGTCCTGGCTCTAAAACAGTAGCTTCATGTGCGTGTGATGTCACATCTTTAGATCAAAGATAGGGCTAAGGAAATATCACGATATAAACGCCAGGATCAGAAAGAGCGCTAAATCATGGATATTTTAAAACCAAAATGGTAGTGAGCTAGCGGGTTAGCATTGAGCTAGCGGGTTAGCATACAGTCTGGATTGGACCTAAGTGTTTTAGAGTCAGGAATGAGTGACATGGATTTGACTACAGAGTTCTACTTTTGTGGTCTGAAAGTTTTGTACCTCAGCTTTAAGCCTGGTTTCAAACACAGTAGCCTGAGCTTCTGTGATGATGGCGTCTCGGGCGACAGAATATAAGTGTCTGAACATGAATGAGTTTTGAAATGACCCAGTCCTCACACTACACAGTCTTCCTCGGAGTCTCCTCGGCTTCTTCTTCCTCTTTCACTCGTTTCTGAATAAATCTCAACTTAAATAAACTTTGAACAGAAAAATAAAACGTTTATATCTTCAGAATAAATAAATAATAAAAGTCTACGAGAGCAGCTGCTAGTGTGAAGAAGAGGAGGAGGAGGAGGGCATCTGGGAGCGGGACGGTCTCTGCGGTCTGGACTGGTCTGCAGGCTCAGGGGCTGGACCAGGGACCAGACCAGGACCAGGGCCTAGACCAGGGCCAGGATTATCCTCAGAGTCGACCTGCGCCGGGCACTCGAAGTGAACGCAGTGGAAGACCTGGAAAACAGAGGAGGACTCGGTTAGACCTGTTTTGTCCTGATCTAAAGGCCTAGGTCAGATTTTCTTTAGTCCTGGTCTAAAGGCCTAGGTCAGACCTGCTTTAGTCCTGGTCTAAAGGCCTAGGTCAGACCTGCTTTAGTCCTGGTCTAAAGGCCTAGGTCAGACCTGCTTTAGTCCTGGTCTAAAGGCCTGGGTCAGACCTGCTTTAGTCCTGGTCTAAAGGCCTGGGTCAGACCTGCTTTAGTCCTGGTCTAAAGGCCTGGGTCACGCCTGCTTTAGTCCTGGTCTAAAGGCCTGGGTCAGACCTGCTTTAGTCCTGGTCTAAAGCATTGTATCGTCATAGTGTGTTTCCATAGTCAGAACTAGAGGCGTGGTAGCCTGGCCTTATCCATCCGTACACTCCGTTCAATCATCATTTCACTGCATGTAGCGTTGTAGGTTGGTGCCGGTGACGTCAAGAGTTTGCAGGCTAGAGGCGTGGTGTCTGGGTCAAGTCTTGGACCAGGTCTGGGTTTGGGTCTGGTTCTGGGTCCGGTCTTACCTCGTTTGCAGTGTTGTGTGTACCCACGATCCTGATGAAGGAGGCTGGATGTTTGTCAAACTTGAGCATCTGCCAGGACCTGAGAAAGACAGTATCAGACCATGTGACTGGACCATGTGACCAGACCGTGTTTAGTTCCAATTTATATTAAACATTTAGTAAAACATTTTAAATTAACTCAAACACAAAACGGCGCCTCCAGCTGTTGTCAGGACTTTTGGTCTGGTCTGGTTTGGTCTTGGCTCACCTGCAGGGAGTCCTGGTGCGGTCCACCACTTTGCTCCATTGCTGCTGGTTTGTGGAAACTTCAATGTAATAACTGTAGGAACGTTCATCACAGTCCCAGAGGAGGAGCCTGAGGAGACACCAGGTTTATACTGAGACAAGAGGGAGAGAGACCAACGAGAGACCAGAGAGACCAGAGAGACCAGAGAGACCAGGACCAGCTTTAAAGCGAGACCAGAGAGACACCAGTAACACAAAGCGGACTGCATCTGACCTCATGGAGCTGAGGCAGTAGGGCTGGGCGAGCTGGATGACGATGGCCCCGGAGCCCAGCTGGTGGCAGGTGTAACCAGAGTCCCAGTCGTAGTTCCTTGTGTCTCCGTTTAGTAGAGCGTTTCTGCTGCGGCTCACTCCCTCCACCACACTCGCACATGAGGCGACTGTGGCTACGTTCTCCTGGGGTACTGAGACCAGAGAGAGACCAGTGAGAGACCAGAGAGACCAGAGAGAGACAACGTGTGGGGGGTGTACTTACCCAGAAGGCCGCTGTCCAGGGTGTGTGCACGGTTGGTGAACATACACTCGAAGGCCACCAGGTGGAACACTTTGTTCACTGTGTTGTGTGTGCCGACAATCCGCACGTACCTGAGGAAGAAGAGTTAGACTGGTCCAGTCCCGGTCCAGTCCCGGTCCAGTCCCGGTCCAGTCCCGGTCCAGTCCCGGTCCAGTCCCGGTCCAGTCCTGGTCCAGTCCTCACCTGCAGACTCTGGAGCTGAAGAACAGGTTCTGCCAGGAGCGACAGAGGAACTTAGAGTGATCCACGACCCGGACCCAGTCCAGCTCATCCATGGACACTTCTATGTAGTAAGAGTACGACCTGAGGGGAGAGGGGTGAGGGGAGGGAGAAGGGAGAGGAGTTGTCTGTGAGAAGGTTCTGGGACCTACGGTCCTGTGTGTGGGTGTAATCAGGTCTGATACCTGCTGTTGTGTGAAGTGTTCCGGTGGTGCGACACAATGGGTTAGAGATAAACATTCTATGATTCCCAGAGCGATTGCTTGTATGAATAATACTAATGTGATTTTTATGTTTGCTTAGTGCAATATCATCAAAAATAATGGTTATACTTATCCCATATACAAATGTCCTTCTCGCGATCACGGTAATTGTCATGTCCCCCGTCATGATGTTGTTCCCCGTCATGATGTTGTCCCCTGTCATGTTCAGTTCTTTGACATGTTCTTGCTCCCATTGTTTGTCCAAGAAAAATGTCTCTGTCATGAGACAATAAAGACTAATCTAATCTAGTGTTTGTGTAGTGCGTGTAGTGCGTGTAGTTCGTGTAGTTCGTGTAGTTCGTGTAGTTCGTGTAGTTCGTGTAGTGCGTGTAGTTCGTGTAGTGCGTGTAGTGCGTGTAATGCGTGTAATGCGTGTAGTTCGTGTAATGCGTGTAGTGTGTGTAATGCGTGTAGTGCGTGTAGTGTGTGTAGTGCGTGTAGTGTGTGTAGTGTGTGTAGTGTGTGTAGTGCGTGTAGTGTGTGTAGTGCGTGTAGTGTGTGTAGTGCGTGTAGTGTGTGTAGTGTGTGTAGTTCGTGTAGTGCGTGTAATGCGTGTAGTTCGTGTAATGCGTGTAGTGTGTGTAATGCGTGTAGTGCGTGTAGTGTGTGTAGTGCGTGTAGTGTGTGTAGTGCGTGTAGTGTGTGTAGTGTGTGTAGTGCGTGTAGTGTGTGTAGTGCGTGTAGTGTGTGTAGTGCGTGTAGTTCGTGTAGTGCGTGTAGTGCGTGTAGTTCGTGTAGTGCGTGTAGTTCGTGTAGTGCGTGTAGTGCGTGTAGTTCGTGTAGTGCGTGTAGTGCGTGTAGTTCGTGTAGTGCGTGTAGTTCGTGTAGTTCGTGTAGTTCGTGTAGTGCGTGTAGTTCGTGTAGTGCGTGTAGTTCGTGTAGTGCGTGTAGTGCGTGTAGTTCGTGTAGTGCGTGTAGTGCGTGTAGTTCGTGTAGTGCGTGTAGTTCGTGTAGTGCGTGTAGTTCGTGTAGTGCGTGTAGTGCGTGTAGTTCGTGTAGTGCGTGTAGTTCGTGTAGTGCGTGTAGTGCGTGTAGTGCGTGTAGTGCGTGTAGTGCGTGTAGTTCGTGTAGTGCGTGTAGTGTGTGTAGTGTGTGTAGTGTGTGTAGTGTGTGTAGTGTGTGTAGTGCGTGTAGTGTGTGTAGTGCGTGTATCTGGTACCTGCTGTCCCGGTCCCACAGCAGCAGGCGGATGTGGTTGATGATTGACGGTTGGCCCAGTTTGACCTGGATGCCCGCGCGACCGTCCTCCTCGATGGGGTGTCGGCTGAAGCCGTGGTCCAGGTCATAGTTCTGTGTGTCTCCATCGAGCAGCGCAGACTTCAGCTCCCCCTTCACCACCTGCGCCCCAAACTTCATGGTGGCAATGTTCTCCTCCGGGACTGAGGACAACAGAGAGGCTTTAGACCTGCTTTAGACCTGCTTTAGACCTGCTTAGACCTTCTTTAGACCTGCTTTAGACCTGCTTTAGCCCCCTCACTCACTTAACATGCCGCGGTAGTTCAGGTCCATGTTGCGGGACTCAGACCGGGTCTTGATGGCGTCCAGCAGATGGTCCGGACTCACGAGTCCCGAAGGTCGGACCACGTTCAGCATCTCTGTGAGCGTCATGAGGGGGAGGCGCACCGCTGACATCACTTCCTGTGTGTCTGCCCCATCGCCGCGGTGACTGCTCCAGCGACTTAGAGCCAGAAAGATCTCCTTCTCTGAGGAGGCGAAGGAGTCCCGGGTCACCACCGTCAGCAGCGCCACCTGCAGGACCAACAGCGCCCTGTGAGTCACTATCTGCCTCTGTGGGCCAAGAGCTGATGTGACAGAGGCCAGTAACACATGAATGTGAAAACTAGTAACAGAAGCAACTGTGTTTGAACAGAAGGGTGTGTTTAAAACTGTGTGTTTGAGCAGAAGGGTGGGGGGGACCTTGGATAGCTGCAGAAACCCCTCAGAGCTCAACACGTCAGGAGCGTGGCGGTCCATGTAGGCGCAGCAGGCCGCACTGAGCGCGCTCAGACCGTACAGACTTGCCACGTCGAACACCACACACACGTTTTGCGTGTGCAGAACCGTGCGCAGGAAGTCGGACGTGGAGTCCTCTAGAGGCTGGAGGCCGTATCTGTGCGCCAGCCCCAGGAAGTCCAGCAGCACCTCCTCCCGTGCTGCGCTCAGAGAGGCGCGCCCTGTGTACAGGTAGTTCAACAGCATCGAGAAGGCCTCCGCCCGAGTCTCCTCCAGCCGCACCTCCGCCTGAGGCCGAGACTCCTTCATACCTCCAAACAGGAGCGCCCTGAGGAGAGAGTAGAGGGTCAACTACTGCCCCCAGTGCAAGACCAGGTGAACTACTGCCCCCAGTGTAAGACCAGTGAACTACTGCCCAAATGTAAGAGCCTGTACCTGAAGTAGTGGCAGCGTGCGGCGAGGATGACGCGGTGCGCGGGGAAGCGCTTGTTCTCCACGATGAAGGTGACGTCGCTGTAGTCCTCCCCCAGCGCCAGCACCCCCACCTGCTCAGAGAGGAGGTGCACATGGTCGATCTCTGACACCGAGGCCAGAGGCTGCAGGGGGTGGCTGTTGTTACTCATGACGAGGAGGCGCTAGGGAGAGAAAAGGAGAAGGTGAGGAGAGAGGAGGAGGTGAGTGAAGAGAGAAGTGGAGAGAAGATCAGACCTGATGATTTATAAATCATCAGGTCTGATCTTCAAGATGGCGCCTCGTACGGTCGACATGGCTCTTTGCTGCTCTCTTTTTCTTTTGTTTTTACTTTTTAACTGTGCATCTGGCTGTTCCTACACCCGTGAGGAACTTATGAACATCCGACCCTCCGTTCCCATGGACCTATTGCCTGTTTTCTTGGCATCTGCGGCTGATTTAGTTCATGTTCTAGCCAAAAAAGTGTGGGCCCGTAAAAGGGGAAAGCGAGGAGGCCTGCTCGTGCGTCTTAGGAGGAGAGGAGCGCGCACGGCTCTCCCCGGCATTTTTCTCTCCAACGTACGCTCACTGGGCAATAAGATGGACGAACTCAGCCTGCTCATGAGAAGAAACAAGGACTTCGCCACATCCTGTGTCCTCTGCTTCACTGAGACCTGGCTAAATGAGCGGATCCCGGACTGCGCTCTGGAGCTGCAGGGCTTTGGGCTGTTTCGCGCGGATCGCCATTGTGCGCTCTCAGGGAAGAGCAGAGGCGGAGGGCTCTGTTTCTACGTCAATACAAACTGGTGTAACGATGTGACAGTGATCTCCAAGCACTGCTCTCCTGCTCTGGAATATCTTTTCATTCATTGTAATCCATATTACCCCCGCGGAAATTGTTTCATTCATTCTTGCCTCTGTTTACATACCGCCATGCGCGGACGCGCGCGAGGCTCAGCGCGCACTCGCAGAGCAAGTACTGTGTATGGAACGCTTATACCCGGACTCTCTGATTATTATCCTGGGGGATTTTAATAAGGGAAACTTGAGCCAGGAATTACCCAAATACAGACAGTTTATCAAATGCCCGACCAGAGAGGAGAACACTCTGGATCACTGTTACACCACCGTGCGCGGAGCTTTTCGCGCTGTTCCCAAGCCAGCCCTCGGCTTCTCAGATCACTCCATGATACATCTGGTTCCTGCTTACAGACAGAGACTAAAGCTCTCGAAACCTGCAGTGAGGAGCTCCAAAGTGTGGTCTGATGAAGCTGTGGAAGAGCTGCGCGCATGCATGGAATCTACAGACTGGGACCTTTTCAGAGCTGCCACAGACAGCTTGGATGAATATACGGACACTGTGACGTCATACATCCACTTCTGTGAGGATAGCATCATTCCAACAAGGACCAGGGTCATCTATAACAACGACAAACCCTGGTTCACTGCTAAACTCCGGCAGCTCAGGAAAGCAAAGGAGTCTGCTTTCAGGGAGGGGGACCGCAGCGGCTACAAAGCAGCTAAATATCAGTTCAGGAAAGAACTGAAAGCAGCCAAGTCCCGGCACAGAGAACGACTACAGGAGCAGTTTGGTAACAACGATACTGCTTCTGTCTGGAGGGGCCTACGGGAGATCACCAACTACAAACCCAAAGCCCCCCCCTGTGCTGATGACCACAAGCTAGCTGACGATCTGAACTTATTTTTCAGTCGCTTTGATGCTGCCCCTGACACCTCCCCCTCCCCCACCCCCCACTACTCTAACGACCCACCCATCAGCCCTGCCCCCAGCCTAACAATAGCCGCTAAAGAGATTAAACAACTCTTCCTGAGGCTGCACCCCCGCAAAGCTCCTGGCCCGGACCACGTGTCTCCGGCCACTCTGAGACACTGCGCCAGTGAGCTTACTCCTGTGTTCACGGACATTTTCAACACCTCTCTGCAGTCCTGCCATGTCCCGGCCTGCTTCAAATCCTCCATCATTGTCCCCGTCCCGAAGAAGCCCAGGATCACAGGACTCAATGACTACAGACCTGTAGCACTTACGTCTGTCGTCATGAAGTCATTTGAACGCCTGGTTCTCTCCCATCTCAAGTCCCTCACCTCCCCCCTCCTGGACCCCCTGCAGTTCGCCTACAGAGCCAACAGATCTGTAGACGACGCCATTAACCTGGCCCTCCACCACATCCTACAGCACCTGGACTCCCCGGGGACCTACGCCAGGGTCCTGTTCGTGGACTTCAGCTCTGCCTTCAACACAATCCTGCCATCCCTGCTCCAGGACAAGCTCTCCCAGCTCAACGTGCCCGATTCCACCTGCAGGTGGATCACTGACTTCCTGACGGACAGGAAGCAGCGAGTGCGTCTGGGGAAGAATGTCTCGGACTCTCGGATTATAAATACAGGAGCCCCACAGGGCTGTGTTCTTTCTCCCCTGCTCTTCTCCCTGTACACCAACCACTGCACCTCCAGCCACGACTCCGTGAAGCTGATCAAGTTCGCGGACGACACCACCCTCATTGGACTCATCTCCAACAACGATGAGTCCGCCTACAGGAGGGAGGTGGACCGGCTGGTGTCCTGGTGCAGTGGTAACAACCTGGAGCTGAACGCCCAGAAGACAGTGGAGATGATTGTGGACTTCAGGAAGAGCACTGTCCCCCCGCCCCCCCCCCTCCGTGATGGACTCCCCCATCACCTCTGTGGAGTCCTTCCGTTTCCTGGGCACCACCATCACCCAGGACCTCAAGTGGGAGCCGACCATCAGCTCCCTCATCAAGAAGGCCCAGCAGAGGATGTACTTCCTGCGGCAGCTCAGGAAAGCCAAGCTGCCTGCACAGATGTTGGTGCAGTTCTACACGGCCATCATCGAGTCCATCCTCACCTCCTCCATCACCGTGTGGTTCGCTGGAGCCACAGTCAGGGACAAACAGAGACTACAGCGCATTGTGCGCTCTGCAGAGGAAGTGATCGGCCGCAGCCTTCCATCGCTGCAGGACCTGTACGTCGCCCGAGCTCGAGGCCGGGCTGGTCGTATCACAGCCGACCCCTCTCACCCTGCACATGGACTATTCCAACCACTCCCCTCAGGCAGGAGGCTGCGGTCCATCAGGACTAGAACCTCCCGCCACAAGAACAGTTTCTTCCCCTCTGCTGTTGGACTCTTGAACACTTCTTAACCTGTCCCCCCGCCCTTTATAAAGTCACTTTACTGCCCATCATACGTCACTTTACTTCACTGTACTGCTGTCACCTTACATTGTGTGCACCATGTGCACTTGTATATTGTAAATAGTAACTGTAACTCTATTTTAAATTTAAATTTATTCTTTAGAAGTGTTTTTTATTCTTATTTTTATTATCTCTTTTTGACTGTTGCACTGAGCCAAAGCAATTTCCAAGTCTGTGACCTCCCGTTACTTACGTTGGCAATAAAAATGATTCTGATTCTGATTCTGATTCTGATAAACAGGTGAACATTAGAATATGTTTTCTCCTTCAACTCACAATGTGTGTAACCAGTACCAGGTCCTTCTTTAGTCCCTGTTGGCCCTGATTCTATCCAGACCGAGCTGGTACTAAAGTGTTCTAACGGACAGAGATTGGCCAGAGTGCTGTTGGAAGCCAGGGTTACCAAGGAATTTCCCCAGACACTGGTTCGTTGCTGGTAGGTTGCTGGAATACGGTACTTGATACTAAAGCGTAACCGGGTAGAAGTAGGGCTGGTGGAAACAGGGCTTTAATCTGTGAACTAAACAAACGCTACACACAGTTGATATTATGAAACGAGTGCGTGGTGTCGATTCGATCTTTTGGCTTTGAATAGTGATCGATTAATGGACTAGATTTGTGTTTACGCTGTTAGTAATAGACCACGTTGATCTAAACACTGCACAAAACGTCCCAAAGTCTTGCGTGGATGTTAAACACAGACATATCAAAGTTGTTTACATTTTCTGTGAAGATGCTAATGCTAACCTGTCTGCTAGCATCACAATCTTTAGCATAAATATGAGAAATACCCGCATGCTTTTGATGTCGTTACACCTGCAGACTAATGTATTGTCTGTGAGTTTACACAGTGTGGGGAATGATATATTTATATGTGATTTATTGCGGTGATCTGTAATATAATAGCATTGTTTCGCCTCGAGCAGACGCCATAGATCTAAGAAAGGCTAAATGTGTGTTTCGTTGTGTCTTTAGCCTGGTTCTCACCGACAGCAGCTCCCGCGCCGCTAAAGTGCAGTGGACGAGGATAAATGTGTTTGTTCCTCCGGTTTGTGAAGTGAAAGCTGATGTTGTTACAGATCCATGGAGGAAAGCGGAGGGAGAGCTTCTGACGTCACGCAGCTCCAGCCTCAGTGACGTCAGCGCCATCTGCAGGACAGGAGTGTGCGTGGGTAAAGCTGGGGGACGTAACTTTTATGGCCCCAGCTGAAAGAGTCATGCACTTGTCAGTAAGAGCCCTGTAACTTACTATTTTTTAACTTTTCTGTCTCTAAAAGTTGATTTAAAGATGTGAAAGAAATGCATGTGAAAACTAGTAATGGAACTGTCTCAGCGTCTGACAGATTCAGATTAAGGATATTTGCCGTTTGCAGTAAAACCACAGTGGAATACATGTGCAAGAGTCCCCAGTGTGAACCGGACAAGTACACACATAAAGCAAGCAATAAAGTACAAGAAACAATGATCTCTGTGAAACCAATCAACAAAAAACCTTTAAATAAAAGATCATTAAAGGGCTTTGTTCAGACTGATAACAGCTGAAAGAAGCTGTTAGCATGTTAGCATATCCAGATGTCCTGAAGCCAATGATATCTTTTGCTAGAGGGAAGAAGCTGGAACATGACTCTTCCAGGGGTCAGAAGAGTCATTGATTATTCTAATATAAGAGCTTGATTTATGAAGAACCTCAAGAACAGACAGATCACAGAGCGGAGCACCTCTCTCTGGTCTCTCTCTGGACTCTCTCTGGTCTCTCTTTCTGGTCTCTCTTTGGTCTTTCTCTCTGGTCTCTCTCTCTGGCCTCTCTCTGGTCTCTCTCCGACCTCACTCTCTAGTCTGGTCTCTCTCTCTGGTCTCCCTCCGATCTCTCTTTGGTCTTTCTCTCTGGTCTCTCTCTCTGGCCTCTCTCTGGTCTCTCTCTCTGGTCTCTCTCCGACCTCACTCTCTAGTCTGGTCTCTCTCTCTGGTCTCCCTCCGATCTCACTCTCTTTCTGGTCTCTCTTTGGTCTTTCTCTCTGGTCTCTCTTTTTGGTCTCACTCTCTGGTCTCTCTCTGGCCTCTCTCTGGTCTCACTCTCTGGTCTCACTCTCAGGTCTGGTCTCACTCTCAGGTCTCACTCTCAGGTCTCACTCTCAGGTCTCACTCTCTGGTCTCTCTCTCTGGTCTCTCTCTGGTCTCCTTTCTTTGACTGTAATGTTGCTGAACCACACAGTCAGAGACCAACAAACAAACAGTCAATGCAGTGATAAAAGTGAAGCAGGATCAGAGTTTGTGGTAAATATTCTCAAGTTTCCGCAGACAGAAGATACGCTGACCAGCTTTCTTAACAGGCGGGAGTTTGTCATCAGTGTGGAGTCACCAAATATCTTCACCAGAGGCTTGTGGTCAGTAATGAGGATGTCATTGTCCTGTATGAAGAATCCTGTTAACTCAAGGGCCTCCTATAATCAGGCTTTAATGATCCACAGGGAAATTGCATTGTTACAGTAGCTTGCATGGTATTCCACAGTAAAAATAACTATCAAAATAACAAAGTAACAATCTGAGAATAAGAATAATGATAAGATAAGATTAAATTGTCATTTGCCAACACAAATCAGAGAATCAAACCATTAAAAACAAGAAAAGTGAGGCCAGGAGCAGAAACCAACACCTCACCCGGACTTGTCTGGACGAAGCCATGTGTGTTTTTACAGGTGATGAATATCCACGTCCTTTCAAATGGCTTTAGTTATAGACTGTTCTGACTTCGGGAAGGCCTCCTTGAGGGCGGGGGACCAAAAAGGGAAATCAGGTATGGGTGGGGCTCTTTGCTTTTGTTAATAAATTCCTTTTGTATTAAACCTTTTTTTGTTTCTGCACTTGGGTTCTCTTGGCTTCTCGTTACAGAGTCTGAGAGGAACCATCATCTTCTGACAGAATACCATGAGGAGGTTATCGAGTCTTTGCTGCCAGTGCAGAGGCAGCGAGTGGCTGTTCCATACACGACGAGGTGAGGGCAGGTGTCTCTGGAAGAGCCAGTATATCACCTGACTGTTATTGTCTGGCGTACAAGCTAACAGCTAAATGTGGGCAAAGGTCCGAGGAGACAAGAATGGATCTTATCCCAAACGTATTTACAGGCCTGATTGGACACCACCCTCATTGGACTCATCTCCAACAACGATGAGTCCGCCTACAGGAGGGAGGTGGACCGGCTGGTGTCCTGGTGCAGTGGTAACAACCTGGAGCTGAACGCCCAGAAGACAGTGGAGATGATTGTGGACTTCAGGAAGAGCACAGTCCCCCCGCCCCCACCCTCCCTGATGGACTCCCCCATCACCGCTGGGGAGTCCTTCCGTTTCCTGGGCACCACCATCACCAGGACCTCAGGTGGGAGCCGACCATCAGCTCCTCATCAAGAAGGCCCAGCAGAGCATGTACTTCCTGCTGCAGCTCAGGAAAGCCAAGCTGCCTGCACAGATGTTGGTGCAGTTCTACACGGCCATCATCGAGTCCATCCTCACCTCCTCCGTCACCTCCTCCATCACCGTGTGGTTCGCTGGAGCCACAGTCAGGGACAAACAGAGACTACAGCGCATTGTGCGCTCTGCAGAGGAAGTGATCGGCCGCAGCCTCCCATTGCTGCAGGACCTGTACGTCGCCCGAGCTCGAGGCCGGGCTGGTCGTATCACTGCTGACCCCTCTCACCCTGCACATGGACTATTCCAACCACTCCCCCCGGCAGGAGACTAGGTCCATCAGGATCAGAACCTATGGGAAGATGTTTAAGGCCAGCCAAAATGAGAGAGTTTTCCAACATTAAACATCTCTCTTTAATTCAGCATATACCTCGGTAGGTGAGACTTAAAGGTATATTGGAGGATCATCAAGACTATTGGTCCTTCCAATTGCCAATCTGGTGAAACGTGCTCGTCTCCCCTCTTCCCGCCTCGGAGCCTCTTCTCTCCCTGTGGTTTCTCACTTATTCCCATTGTATTTCAGAGTGGTTCCTCTGATGTTCCGGGGCATTTCTGGACAGAGGTCATCCCGCCCCCTATGGACCAGTGACGCCTATTACTGTATTTTCTGTGTTCATACATTTTGATTCTCTGATCTGTTGTTGAGGAATCGAAAACTTTGTAAAGTCCTATGAGACAAATTCTGATTTAGGATTTAGTGATTGAACAAGGGGGTTCCACAAAGTACTCTTTAATGTTGTGTGAATACTTATGGAAACCTGCTTTTCAGTTTTTAATAATAAAAAGAGTATGGATGGCTTGTATGGACCTTGAGTCCGGAATAAAGATTATATATATATACTTTTAGTTACACGTGTCTGTTGTGGTCTTCTTTGTGCAGTTTAATTTGCATTGACACTTTTGTAACCCGCTGTATACCACATTATAGAACTGGTTCCTCTTCCAAACTGCCTCATGAACCGCCTGATGATGCAAAATGCACTTCTTATCTTTACACAAAGGTTCTGAATACTATTTTATTATATCAATATATATTATTATTGATCAAACGGTCAGATGCCTGCAGATAACTTGCCTCCCGCTGGTTTGATTGGTAACTGCCAGTGTTTAGGTTCGTACAGCAGCTTGGCTAATATTTACTTTTAAAAGCCCCGTGTTATCTGAGCGGATTAGACTAATGATCCAGGCGAGCCCTCCCATCGGGCTCTCTCCTCCCTTCTCCGGCCTATCCCACCGCGTCTGCCCCGTCTAACCAGCACAAACGCCGCTGTACACCTCGAACTCATTGGTAAAAGTCAATAATATTGTGTTTTGGGGCAAAAATGTGCTTTTTTCCGCTGTCCAATATTGACATTTGTTTGATGGACGCGTTTCCGGCCTTGACTGCACCATTGAGACGGAAAATGGGGGTATACTGTTGGCTTTAGCTGCCTTTTTCGCTTAATAACTTAACATAATTTATCTTTAATATAAAATACGTTAAGTTTCGTCAACTTTTAACTGTAATTGTCGCATTTTTAAGACGCTTCGACAGGGAATTTTCTTAACGTCTCCCCCCATTTTTCGCTGACAATGGCCTCGCCCTACGCCTAGCAGCTGATTGCATTGAGACAGCCGTTCAATTCTTTTTCCCCATTTTTCCCTTTGAGGCTTTTTGTTCCTATTTTTACCCCTTTTCACTCGATTTAACTGCTCGTTTCTGGTCTTTACCCTTCCACAGACACGTCCAGTGCTTTGTTTTGACCGAACACAGGGCAGTTTTCATGCGAAGACCGATTCAATAGCAGTTTGGACGGAGGAGAAAAAAAGGGGAACAGGCCTCGACCGAAGCCACGCCGTTTCCTGATCGCGCTATCCGTGTGTCAGACGCGCTAAGTCGGTCATGGGGGACACCAGCGAGCGCAGCAAGACCTCCACACTCCCGCCCCGCTGCCCGTGTGGGTTCTGGGGGTAAGTTTACGCCTTTTACCCGGGGGAATATTGCTTATGCCCCGCTGTGAACTGGTTAAACTTGTCCTCAGCCATTGTTGTTGTTCAGATACGGGCGAATGGGTGGGGGGTTGGGAACTTCACTTATAAATAAATCAACCCATAGCTGTGCCTTATTCTCGCTGTTTCTGCCGCAATTTAGCACAATTTCGACAAGTTTTCACCGCTGACACGCCGAACAAAGAGTTTAAAGTGGTATTTTTAGCCTGCTTTTGAGAGCGCTGGGGCTGACGTGAACAGATGACTGATTTATAGCCAGCAGGTTGCTTTCAAACCGGTTTTCTGAAGCCCAAACGGCTCTAAAATCATGCACACAGACACAGTTTAGTCGATTATCCTGCTTATTTGTATGTGATTATTCAAGAGTTGTCTATTTTAAAGCAGCTTTCCAGATCCGTCTTGTCAGATAGCTTGTGTTTTGCATTACTACCGGATGTGAAGGGGCTAGTGTGGCTCTTATCTGCAGAAAACATTGCATTTCTTCACAAATTATTATGTTTTGTGTTCGAATCCAGTGGTGTGTTCGGATGGCATACGTGTTCATGTAAGATAAGAAGCAATAAAAGGACAGGACCAGGTTTGATGTGGAGCAGAAACGGTATTGACCCACAGTAGAAATGGTGTGGACTCAGTGGATCACATATGATTGATGTGACAGAGCAAAAACTGAACGTGGCAAAGATCTGGAAATACGGGTGATTTGTTGATTGTGAGAATACTTGCCACATTATTACTATTAATCAAGTCATGTCTATATACATGTACTCAACCATGTGAACCTGCATCAGTGTTGGAGCCACAAACTGTTAGTCATCCTACTGTGGGGAAATGTCGGTGTTGCAGTGCACATATGCGACAGCAGTATGTGTCCTTTGCTCAGAGATAAGTAGGTGTAAATGCCTCTTAAATTTGGCTTCAGGGGCCAAAGTACAGGCCTGCAACACACTGTAGGAACAATAACTGTAATAATGTAATGTATATTTCTGAAGAGTGAATTTGAAAAAACAGATTAAATTAAGATTAAGAGATCAATTTTAATATATGTTTTGCTCAAGAAGGAGTGGAACTTTATTTGAATGGCACTAAAATAGATCTTGGTAATGATCAAATTATAATTCTCTAATGGCTCTTGCTTCTGTTTTTACAAATGAACTATCTACATCTACTCTGCTGGACTATTGATCTGAACATGAACTCAGTCCACCTGAATATAAGCCGCAGATATCATGTTGTGATGTCACACTTCAACAGCTCATGGAAACAAAGCAGATGACTGTTTTAACTCTGACTTAATGACAAGCTTCAAAGTTTGGTAAATAACACGATAAACTGTATCAACTCATTTAACTTTATCTAAACTGTGTCCCAAGGACACAGTTAGGCAAGACACTGAAGCCTCGCTGGAAGATCAAGGCTCCTGTGGACTCACCACCTGCAGGAGGATCAGTGCTCTGTGACTGGGTGCAGCTCTGACTGCCACCCCCCGACCCAGAAATGGATTAAGGGGAAGAAAATGGATGAATGGATGGATAAACTGTGTCCTACAGCAAACAGCCCTATTTACATTATACACGTCTCTCTGCTTTTCGCCAGATCCTATCAGACCTTTAAAGCTAAACAGGACAGGGCCTGGTTAGTACTGTGATGGGAGACCTCTGGGAACACCAGGTGCCACAGTGGGACTGCTGTAAAGTGCCAAACTGTGGTTGTGTCCTTAGGCAAGACACTTCACCCACATTAGAATGAGTCTGGTGTGTGTGTGAATGGTTGGTGGTGGTGAGAGGGGCTGATGGCACAGACTGGTTGCCTCGCTTCTGTTGGTGTGCCCCAGGGCAGCTGTGGCTACAGTAGTTGTTTATCACTGTTTGGAGTGAATGAATAGTGTTGTGAAGCGTCTGAGTGTCCAGGAAAGCGCTGTATAAAACTAATTCATTATAATGATTCAATATTATTTAATTAAATTAAATTATTACGATAAACTATAATATTGAAACCGCAGTGGTCTCTCCTTATCACGTGTAAACTCTGTGAAGACTAGCTATAAAGAAACTCTCCCATAATTAATCCTCAGTGATTCACACGTCTGCCCATTTGTCCCGGCGCTAAGCAAACGTTGTACAAACGCCCGTATAAGGAAACTGGCTCCAGCATCTGTTCAAATCAGCCTCTTCTGCATTAATGCTAACACTGTGATGTCACACTTTTGTGATGTCACACTCAGTCAGTCCACTCCTCGTGCCCTCTTTAAGTTAATATTAAACTGTACAGAGAGGAGGCCGACTGAACTGTGTCATGGTGTGGTGTTTCTCAAACTTGTGCCCTATATGGGAAATCAGATCGATATTTGAAATAGGTGTTTAGTATTTCAATAACAATATAATTTTATTACAATAAAAATTAAGCACAACATTAATTACATTCAAATGCAGTCACAATATTGCCACAATATTAACCTCAAATCTTAACTAAAGTTGCCAATTCCCCACACACAGTATTTGCTCTATATCAGTATATGCAGTTGAAGCTTTGTGTTGCTTCAGAGTTTTCTCGTAAGGAGCTACCGAAGCAAAACCGTCATCAATGCTCATTTGCACAAATGCCTTTCGTTTGACTGGACTAGACTGGAGTTTGAGGTTGTAAATACACAAGTACCCCGTGGTAGTGTTGGAGTTTATATTGAACTATGTCGCAGATTCGTCACAGTGCGCATACAAGAAATGTATAGACAATATATCAAAATTATTGCCCATCTTTTTGATATAGATATCACATGTTCCAAAATCACAATGACAATATTCTTTCGATATATTGTGCAGCCCTGTGCACAGCCTCTCTCTGAGAGGATAACCTGCAGACTCCTGTCACACATTCTGCTGCTGGACTTTATGTGAATATATTATAAATGTTAGAAATAACAACCACAAGTTAAAGCTGGGGGACGTAACTTTCTGTTTCATAAAAAAATTAAAATGTCGTGAACAAATTAGACCACAACCTGCTGTCTTCATCTTTTGTGTGAGAAAGAGCCCTGTGAGTCACTGTTCGACTCTGTGGGCTGAGAGCTGATTGGCTGAGGGAGGGTGGTCCTCTCTTAGACCCAAAGATGTGACAGAGACAGAAGCAACTCTTTTAATACAGTTAGTATTGCATGAAAGTTACAGACCCCAGCTTTAACGTTTGGTACTCTGGCTCCCACCACTATCAGCCATGTTTATTTTGAACATTCTTGTTTTTAGGCAACAAATCTGTTGTTAAAGATTATTTCAACTAATGTTTTAATGTGAAGCTCTGCAGCAACAATTACTTCTGCTTTTGTCGTTCTGTTTTCAACCTCTGCTTTAGAGCTGTGTGTGTGAGATGTGTTTGTGATTGGCTCCCTCCAGTGACAGTCAGATGAGGCAGGTGACCTACGATCATGGAAAGAAAAAATAATAAAATGGAAACAATAATACTTGTCTATTGATTTGTGCTATTGTATTATTTTATATCTTTGCTTTATTTCTTATATTTTTACCTCAGTTGCAAATTTTTGTCATATTCTTCTCATATTTGACAGAGCGGTGCGCTGTGAGGCGAGCCTCACTTGAGAGACGTAAAAGCTACAGCTCACACGGAGAGGCCTGTGCGGCGCTATCAAACTGTTTCCTCTGTTTTTTGCGGTTTTACAAAGTTCAAACATATTTCATTTACAATCTACATGTCTACAGTTGAGAGGATGGGTCATAAATTGTGTTTTTGACTACAAATATGGGTCTTTATCGCGCTCAACCACAGCTTGTAATGTCACCAAGTGAGGCCAGCCTCAGGGTAGGGGGCGCTTGTGAGCCAAGAATTCAGCTGCATCTGATTCCATCAGCTCCTTTCTTGTTCATCATCTGCTAAGGGCAGCTACCGGTTTGGCTAACATACATATAACACATTTTAATATGATTTTAAAAGCCACTTAGGGTAATTTTATGCTTCCAATGACGATAGGAATGATAGAAGAGAGGTGAAGGGTAAGAAAGTTAAATGTGGATGCACCCGAGAGTCGGCTGCAGCAAAACACGTTGTTTGCTTTACTTTATAAAACTCATTGGACTTATTTCTAAATGGAAGATTACATATCTACGCTCAAACTATTATTTGGGCTTAAAAATGAAACTGGTCTGAACTATCTATATATATATATATATATATATATATATTTTAAAAAAAAATAATAATCCGATTGGGGTGAAGTCAGTGCCTCATCACCAACCTCACCGCACGTCACTGGCTCCCTCTCTTTTGATTAAAAAAAAGTTCATTTTAGTAAGTTATTTGGATGTGAGATGGTGCAAGTGTGTGGACTGTGTGAACAATGGAGGACGAGTAAAAGTAAAGTACAAAGTCTTTAATGAGCACCACCTGCACAGAGCAGACATTGCCACCAGAGGGCAGCAAAGACAGGGTCCAGACCAAGGCTCTATTATAATATCTGGATAGAGTATTACAGCTTGAAGCTGAAGGACCATGTGCTCTGGGGATTCTCGAGGTATTGCAGACTAAACAGACAAAATTCACGTGGGCTACACAGAAAAGTGTCCCATAGAACTCAATGTAAACTAAAACAGCTCAACCTCAGCTGACAGAGAACCTACAGCTTTCGTAGAGGTCGCATTTTATGTGGATTTTATTGTCCTTTGTCATCTTGAACTTTTTTTCTTTTTAAATCCTTCGGTTTTCTATAAATTCACACTTTAGTGCCACAAACTCTGTCTCCTGCTCTAACTCTGTTCTGATCAGCAGTGCTGATTGGTCAGAGCACGGCCGAGCTGCTCTGTGCACAAAGCATGAGAGCCACACTCGCACACGGCGCAAAGCATCATTGGAGCTTGTCCACTGTGCAGAACCAGAAGACCAGACGATGCCCAAATATGGACGAGTTCCGCTGATCTTTCGGTCCCCATGGTGGCACATGCGCTACTGAGCACAAGCCATTGATTTGAATAGGGCGCCATCTTGGATCACCGGGGCTTTGCCCAGATTCGATCTATAAAAACCACTAACGGCACTGTACTGGTACATGAGCAGTAGTTTATAAGAATGTTACTCTATGGTACTTCACGTGTGGAGTTCTCTATTCTTCTATGGGACGACTCTGACTCCTGCAGATTTACATGTTTGTGTCTGAGTGAGAACAGATACTGCAATAATCCAAAGACACTGCCCCTCGTGGCTGTGGGGGCACCCCTCCTCTTCTGTGTGAATGATCTGTGCCTAACTGCCGTGTGTCTCTCTCCTCAGGTCCAGTAAAACCATGAACCTGTGCTCCAAATGCTTCGCGGGTGAGTTTCACATGTTTGGAACTACTGCAGGGGTTTAAAGCTGCTCTGCGTGACTTCTTTGTCAGGGTCCGCCTCCCGGAATGTTCCTCCATCTGGTTCTCACTGCTCAGACACCGGGATCCTGGTTCAGGGACTTTGACTTGTGCCCAGTTTAAAGTGGAACATTCCTGGCAAAAGGATAACGTTGATCAAACGGTGGCCCCTCTCTCAGGAAAGACACGCGGAGCAGCTTTTGAGGCTCTGTCCACACAGAGCTGAGAGGATTTGCACCAGTTTTTACTCTTATCCAGGCTCAATTAGAAACATCTCATCAGACAAACTAATGAATCTCCAGCAAAAGAGCAAACTATAGAGAACGAATGCCCATTTCCACCAGCTCGGCTCGGCTCTTCTCTTCCTCGTAACTCAAACCCGGATCAGGGGAAATTCCTTATTCCTCGTTAACATGGTTTCCAGTCGCGTGTCTGTTAAGTTTTGTTATTGTCCACAAAAGAACCGGTCGTCTGCATTTGATGCTCTTGGTCCTCAACCTCAATGCGATCTTTACCCCTGTTCTGCCCTGTTCTGCCCTGTTCTGCCCTGTTCCCTCTCTCTTCTCTCGTCCTCTTGTCTCTCTCTCCTGTGTAGTGTGTTCTGAATAATGTGTGTTGTTGCAGACATCCAGAAGAAGCAGCCGGGGGAGGAGTGCAGCTCGATGCCCCTGCAGAGCTCCAGCAGTGGGGCCTCGGTGTTCAGCTCGGAGCCCAGTCCCTCCGGTCCCCCAAGCCCGGCCCCCAGCCCCGGCCCCCTCAGTACCCCTTGCATCAGCAGCACCACGCAGACCTCTTTGCAGACCTCTTTGCAGACCTCCACGCAGACCTCTTCACTGCCTGACTCCTCCGAGGACTCGGCCACAGAGACGCTCAGCTCCAGGGAAGGTGAGGAGCAACAGACAATATACAGATGGACGATGCTAACATAGACTGTATACAGATGGACGATGCTAACATAGACTGTATACAGATGGACGATGCTAACATAGACTGTATACAGACGGACGATGCTAACATAGCATCGTCCATCTGTATACAGTCTAACATACAGTGCCTTGCGAAAGTATTCGGCCCCCTTGAACCTTTCAACATTTCGCCACATTTCAGGCTTCAAACATAAAGATATAAAATTTTAATTTTTTGTCATGAATCAACAACAAGTGGGACACAATCGTGAAGTGGAACGAAATGTATTGGATAATTTAAACTTTTTTAACAAATAAAAAACTGAAAAGTGGGGCGTGCAATATTATTCGGCCCCTTTACTTTCAGTGCAGCAAACTCACTCCAGAAGTTCAGTGAGGATCTTTGAATGATCCAATGTTGTCCTAAATGACTGATGATGATAAATAGAATGCACCTATGTGTAATCAAGTCTCCGAATAAATGCACCTGCGCTTTGATAGTCTCAGGGTTCTGTTTAAAGCGCAGAGAGAACCATGAAGACAAAGGAACACACCAGGCAGGTCCGAGATACTGTTGTGGAGAAGTTTAAAGCCGGATTTGGATACAAAAAGATTTCCCAAGCTTTAAACATCTCAAGGAGCACTGTGCAAGCAATTATATTGAAAAGGAAGGAGTATCAGACCACTGCAAATCTACCAAGACCCGGCCGTCCCTCCAAACTTTCCTCTCAAACAAGGAGAAGACTGATCAGAGATGCGGCCAAGAGGCCCATGATCACTCTGGATGAACTGCAGATAACTACAGCTGAGGTGGGAGAGTCTGTCCATAGGACAACAATCAGTCGTGCACTGCACAAATCTGGCCTTTATGGAAGAGTGGCAAGAAGAAAGCCATTTCTCAAAGAGAAATGGCCATAAAAGTCTCGTTTAAAGTTTGCCACAAGCCACCTGGGAGACACACCAAACATGTGGAAGAAGGTGCTCTGGTCAGATGAAACCAAAATTGAACTTTTTGGCCACAAAGCAAAACGATATGTTTGGCGTAAAAGCAACACAGCTCATTACCCTGAACACACCATCCCCACTGTCAAACATGGTGGTGGCAGCATCATGGTTTGGGCCTGCTTTTCTTCAGCAGGGACAGGGAAGATGGCTAAAATTGATGGGAAGATGGATGGAGCAAAATACAGGACCATTCTCAGGGCTTAAAGTTTTCCGGCACCGTGCCGGATAAAATATATAGTAATACGTGTGAATCTTTTGTATATATCTAGATATATATTAATAATTTGAATATAATTGTATTTATATGTATATAGAAATAAAAAGTAACGAGTGGGCCTTGAACGTGCCATGGCTAGCTACATGAGCGCTCCGTAAATGATTCAAGGCAATGGGACGTAGCCAAGTTAGCGATGGTAACACGGAGGTGAAAGTTTCTGAAAAGTGCACGGAGCTTTTGAAAAGGAGAAGAGGACAAGGAAAATGTAATCCCGAACGGAGCAATAACAGCCAGCAGCCCGCGGACCGGTAAACTGGGCGCGTTATCAGAGGAAAGGTAGGACATAATTAACGTTTACCAAACGCAATGCTTTTTTATTTAACGGAATGTACAATATGTACTTTGCTGTGACTGGGAATGGGGACAAGCATGTCTTGGTGAGCTTTTGATAATATCTTGGTGGCAATCCCCATGCAAAACTGCGTGATAAAAAGAGCCAATCAACGAGAGCGAATGGAAGAAACTCGCTGAAGAAAGGTGTGTGTTAGCAGGTCTTATATTCATTCATCAAAGCTAGCCTAGCATGCACGCACAATCACAATCATGGATCGTTGTTTATGGAAGAAGGAGCTGTATAAGTTGCTGTTGATAACGGAGTGAAAAATAAATGGAGGTGGGCATGGCTGGATGAGGTGGAGACGATGGGATTCTGTTGCTTCATGGTGCAAAAAGATGAAGGTGTCCGGTGCTTGTTCGTACTTCGCTATTATTATTTTTTTATATGGGAGTAATGAGAAAACAGCTTTGGATTCACCACCAGCTCAAAACTGCGCACTTGGCAGCTGTCCGTGCACTTTCCCACACTTCTTTACCTGGTGCATCAGATTCAGCGACAACTGAGACTAGGCTTGCTCTGGTGGACTGTGTCTGTGACCTAAAACTATCTGTGGCTTTATCGCAGAAAATAACCTGTCGTTCAGAACCATCACTACCGCTGGTAGATTTAATTATCATTAATCATTTGCAGTTGATAAAACTGCGCTGTGCACTAGCACCAAGTTGATAGGGAAACCTTTTTCTTAAACATTGAGTGTCCACAAACAAATGTGGACAGAATTTTGAATGTCCTTTTGCGATATTTTGACGAGGACAGAGCCAAAGGACAACGCCTCATCTCTCCTCAAGTAAAGCCAATGATGCAGATGAACTACTCTCACTAATATTCTGTCAAAGAGTTGACAAGTTGCTTGATCCACTGGTTGTAATTTCACATCAAAATACACCAGTTTAAATGTATATCTTTGAAGAATTCGTTTGATCTGTAATTCATTATATTTCCATGAGAAAATTTTCAGTCAAATCTTTTTTTTTTGCTTTAACCCCTGGATGATGTATTTATTGCCAACAACTGATGTTTATAATAAACATCAGTTGTTGGCATTAAATAGATATAAATTATATGTATGAGCGTATAAAGGCGCTTATAAAAAACGCTTATTAGTGATCATTCTATGATTCATATAGATCAGCCATTCCCAAACTCAGTAACACCGAGGCCCCCTTAAAAATCTGACGGGTCTGCGTGGCCCCCCAAAATAATAACCAAGAAGACAACATTAAGAATAGGCTCTTCTGGTTATTTTATTTTGGGGAAATAGCCTCTGCTACAAACATTGTAATACAAAAATGATTACAGTGGATTATTCAAGTCAAATAATGAACACAAATATTTTAATATTACAAACAAAACATTATAAATTTAACATTAAATAATTATATATATATATATATATTTTTATGACCTCCCGCGGCCCCCCTGCAGTACCCTCGCGGCCCACCAGGGGGCCGCGGACCCCACTTTGGGAGACACTGATATAGATGGTTCAGGCTCAGGAATTTTTTCAACTTTAACCCATGCATTCTGGAAGAAAACCTGTTGGAGTCTGCAAAAGACCTGAGACTGGGACAGAGATTTATCTTCCAACAGGACAATGATCCAAAACATAAAGCCAAATCTACAATGGAATGGTTCACAAATAGACGTATCCAGGTGTTAGAATGGCCAAGTCAAAGTCCAGACCTGAATCCAATCGAGAATCTGTGGAAAGAGCTGAAGACTGCTGTTCACAAACGCTCTCCATCCAACCTCACTGAGCTCGAGCTGTTTTGCAAGGAAGAATGGGCAAGAATTCCAGTCTCGCCATGTGCAAAACTGATAGAGACATACCCCAAGCGACTTGCAGCTGTAATTGCAGCAAAAGGTGGCACTACAAAGTATTAGCGCAAGGGGGCCGAATAATATTGCACGCCCCACTTTTCAGTTTTTTATTTGTTAAAAAAGTTTAAATTATCCAATAATTTTTTTTCCACTTCACGATTGTGTCCCACTTGTTGTTGATTCTTGACAAAAAAAAATAATTTTTATATCTTTATGTTTTGAAGCCTGAAATGTGGCAAAATGTTGAAAGGTTCAAGGGGGCCGAATACTTTCGCAAGGCACTGTAGACTGTATACAGATGGACAATGCTAACCTAGACTGTATACAGATGGACAATGCTAACGTAGACTGTATACAGATGGACAATGCTAACGTAGACTGTATACAGATGGACAATGCTAACGTAGACTGTATACAGATGGACAATGCTAACGTAGACTGTATACAGATGGACAATGCTAACGTAGACTGTATACAGATGGACAATGCTAACGTAGACTGTATACAGATGGACAATGCTAACGTAGACTGTATACAGATGGACAATGCTAACCCGCTAGCTCACTAAAGCTCAACAGGGAAGTGTTTCTGGTGAAGTTTGGCTCCTCATGCTGGCTCTCATTGACTTGGATGTAAAAGTAAACTCTTCTAGCTCAGTAACTGTCTGTCACACTGTGTGTCACAAAGTGATGCGTTCTGGAATAGAGCTTAAACCAAAGGGTATAGAAGAACCAAGCGGCAAAACTCACTATAACGTTCCGTTCCGCCACAAATGCACCCAGCCGCAGCGCCCCCATCTTGGGCTGGACAGTTCAGAAGCTGAATATTTTACAAGTTTGTTTCATGTCTATAGCCTTAACTAAAACGGGTTGTATAATGCACAGCTTCAGTGAGAACCCACTGTAGCTGTAACTGTCTTTATGAACATAGAATAAACCCTTAATCCATTTCCAGTTTGGGGTGGCAGTCAGCTCCACAGGAGGACTGCTGCTCTCTCAGTGAAGGCACAGCCTTAATCTTTCAGCAGGGCCTTCAGGCAAAGTGGGTTTAAGTGTCTTGCCCAAGGACACAATGACAGCAGACATCAGTGGGAGTCAGTGAAGGTCTTGTGGGGGCTCGAACCCACAATCTACAGGCTGTTTCCATTTATTTTCAGATTACATGTAATGTTGCTATGGTAAACATCTCTGGTTCAGTCCAAAACTGCTTAAGTGCCATCTAGGCTGTTGTCAAAACGGTAACTGAGATTGGCCTCTTGTTATCTGTACTAGAGCCCTGCACTTGAGCCCTTGGCCCGAGGGCCCCGACGGCCCGACAGCCCGAGGGCCGGGCTTCGGGCCGATGACCGCATAATGACCTCGGACACGGGCCGGGCTCGGGCTCTTCATTTTCAGAGCGGCAGAATACATTTACGAACGCACCCACTGAATATAGCGTTCTATCACGCTGTAGTGTTTCTTGTTCTGTGTAGTGTTGTCATTGACGGCACATAGCATTACTTATGTAATGTGCAGATGTGTTGCAGCATCGGGGGCATCATACAGATGCGGCCGTTCACTCTGCACCACTCCGCACACACAGAACTCATTGCAACACATCACTACCATGTATAACTCCGCCCTCTAGCTAAGTCTGCGTTCATATCAGTGCGCGGCACTATATACTACGCTAAAACATTGTCATGGGAGGTTACAAAAAAAAAAAAGGCGGGCTTGATGCGGGTTTCGGGCCTGAAAATTCAGAAACCATATCGGGCCGGGCCGGGCTGGGGCGCCACCCCCTCGGGCCAGGGCCGGGCTCGGGCCCAGATAATAGGCCCGTGCAGGGCTCTAATCTGTACTCTTTGCTTTAACTCTGCACTGTGTGGTATCTGCAGCCAGCAGCGCCCTCTGCTGGTTTGTTCAAAAGTCAGTGCCAGAAGAATTCAGCACGAGGCATCGTTGGTCTCCTCCCTGCAGTGAGAGGAGTCCTGGTGACAGTGTTGAAACACTTTAACCTTCTGCTGAGTGTGGTCCTCAGGACGTGCAGCAGATACTGACCCTCAGACCTGTGTTTCAGGAGCCTCCTCCATAGACACCGCTCAGGGAACACTCTGCTCCCCCAGCAAACGTCCTCGAGAGTCGGGTAAGTGTCCCTCTGCTTCTCTCTCTGACCGCCTCTACCCTCTGTCTGACCTCCTCTCTCCTCCACAGCCATAGACACAGACATTGAGGCCACCCCAGAGAAGCGTTCCAGAGAGGAGGAGAAGGAGGAGTCTGAGGGCACCTCCACACCGCGGCAGAAGAACCGCAGGCGCTGCTTCCGCTGTCAGACCAAACTGGAGCTGGTGCAGCAGGAGCTGGGCTCCTGTCGCTGTGGTGCGTCTCCTTCAATCACACATTATGCTCATCACGTGATGTGTCTTCGGTTCAAAATAATCCTTTGTCTGGAGCTCCTAAAACTGCGCCCAGGGATTTGATTTATTGAATAGTGTTTTTTAAATAATTATATTTCATCTACTTTTTTATTTTGTGACAACATAAAAGCTGGGCTACGTAACTTTAAAGCTAGAGCTCTGTATTAAACCCATGTCTCTAGTTCTCGCTCTAAAACGGTTTCTTCTGTCACTAGTTTCATGTATTTGTGATGTCACATCTTTAGATCAAAGAGGGGACCACCCTCACTCAGCCCAAAGAGGCAGAAAGTGACTCACATGTTTTCTTTTAAGATGAAGACAACGTTTTTGTGTTCAAAATTATGAGACTAAAGTTACGTACCCCAGCTTTAAGTTCATGGATGGTGTGTTTTTCCAAGCTAACCTGACTCCCTCTCCTGCCCTCTCCTGCAGGTTATGTGTTCTGCATGCTGCACCGTCTGCCTGAGCAGCACGACTGCCTGTTTGACCACCTGGGCAGAGGCCGTGAGGAGGCAGTGATGAAGATGGTCAAACTGGATCGTAAAGTGGGCCGGTCGTGCCAGCGCATCGGCGAGGAGTGCTCCTGATCCCCCCCCTCGCTGCCGCCATTTTGGATCTGACAATGCAAAACTGAAACAAGCTCTACTCCTGTTTTCGCGTTTGAGACTTTGAAAAATAAAGACGTTTGTTCGGAGAGTTATGCAAAGAAGCATGCTGTGGAACCCCCAGGGAAAACTACAAACATGGCGGATACATCTCTTTTATACCGTTAGGAGCAATTTTGTTTTGGATTGAGTGGAGAGCTGCGGGTGAGGAGGATGTTCTGTTCGTGTCTGAGCGATTGTCGAGGAAGAACAGGACTAAAGTACGTGCTGAATCATTTTGGGAAAGAAAATCACAAATGAAGAAAATTGTAATGGACTGCAAAGATGGCAGCGCATTTCACGGCTTCCATACACTGTTTCGTTCACTTCACTCGTAAGCAGAACAATGTCTGACAGACCCTAAAAACTACAAACATGGTGGACACGGGAAACGTGTCACATTTAGAGCCGTTTTAAAAAAGGTGTGAGTGGTTCTGGTGAGCAACGAGCGGTGGACAGTCGCGTCACTGTTTAAAGAACTTTTGTTGAGAAAAACTACAAAATGGCCGCTGTATTAAACGTCCTTTTAATAGAAAATCTGACAACCTTTTTAATAACTACAAAATGGTGGAATTTTGAAATCAGGCTTTGAGAATTATCCCTCCTAAAGAACTACAAAAATGGCGGCCACATTAGTAATGGAGCATCGTTGGCAAAGCCAAACTCCAAAAAATGTGGACACAATTACAACGCTTCATTTAAAAAGGTTTTTGTGAAACATAACCTCAAAGTACCAATATGGCGGACACATTGAACAATCCATTGTCAAAGCTTAAAGACTACAACAATGGTGGACATGGGAAAGATTACATCATGCATAAAAAACAATTTCTGAAGATAAAGAACTACAAACATGGTGGTCTGTTTTAAAGACTACAAACATGATGGGCCAGTAGTATAATTTATTCACAGTTCTTGTTAGGGCGATAAAGGTAGTTGGTTTATGGAATCATTTTTATTTTTTGGGAGTTTTTTTTCACTTGTTTGTTCACAATTAGATTCCAATGAAAACTGATTGTGACATCGTTCCTTCCGAAGCCTCAGGTGAAAAAGCCATTTAGAAGTTGTTCGTGAAAGCCACGTTTGTTAAATTGGTTCTTTCCCAATCGGTACGATGTCTGCCCCGACGCTTCCACTCTCTCCCTTTTTCAAAACGGTTGTATAATTTATTCTATTTTATTTCTGATGTATGCGCGTGTGGGTGACGGGGATGACATCACTTATATTATATATATATTATTTTTTAATGTTTTATTTTGAGCAGATTCTGTGGAAGGAGCCGGCGTCAAAGGCAGAAGTTGAAACGTCCACTATTGATTCTGACTTTTCTCTGACGCCGCTTCATCCACAAACCTAACCTTTTTACTAAAAATGTTCTTTTTAGTTTTATGTCAAATTGATAATCTTTAGATCTACATTTAACTTCACAAAACGATTAATCACTTATTTAGACAAAATAATCATTTCAAGATGTTTCCGTTGCAAATGTTTCAAACCAGATTAAAGCTCCTCTCTGACTTTTCGCCAGAGCTCTGTGCACTGGAGTGGGCTGCTAGCTCTGTATGCTAGCTTTATGAGACCATATAAGGAAAGAGTGACTTTCTTTAGAAATAAATTCCTTTTTGGCGGAATATGGATAAAGTACAACCATTAAATTATATTTATTGTTATAATTCATATCAAGGTCTTTGCTAAACCGTTTCAGCCGGTTTAGCAAACTCCTCCCCTTCTCGCTGCTACGCCTACATCTTTTCAACTTTAAACACTGAATCCAAAACTTAACAGTCTCTTTACATCTGTAAATTGGTCTACAAAGCTTCATCTGTTTTGTTTAGAGCTGTTGACGTTAGCTTAGCATAGTTACATATGCCGATGTTAACAAACGTATGCGTACAACCCTCTGTTAACGAAATATTTTTTTACTACCATCGTCACCAATGCAAAGAGAAGTGTGGCTACGCTACTACGCCACTATGCTAACAAGCTAACATTGACCTATCATGAATCATAAACATTGAGCTAACCATGTGCGTAGAACTGGTAAAAAAAGCGAGAAAAACAAAATAAACTTGGCACTTTTTAAAACTTGGACCTGACTTGGTTCCTGAAGCAGTTCACAAAGTCTCGGCAGAAAAGTTACGCAGCGGAGCTTTAAGTCAAAGCCACAATCCTCAGACGTCTGCTTCCATGAGCGAGTGCTTTTGTAGCTGTTTATAATAATAATGATGTTTCTGTTGAGTTCCTGGACCTTTTCGGATATAGAGTTTATCCCGCTTCCTTCCCGCTTTTTCCAAAATGGCAGTACGTACGAGCAAGGACTCAAAATGGCCGCCTTGGATTTTGTAAAGAACTAAAGACTATGCTAATGCTAACGAGGGAAACGGATCATTGTTTTTGAGAGAGGATGTTTTTTTTTTTGTTTGGATGGATTTGTGTAACTTTAAAAAAAGACAAATTATTTAACCTCATAATGTTTGAGTTACTTACACTTAGCGTAGCGCGGCTTCTTTAGTTTAACCTGTAAAAGATTCTGTCCTGATTTCTCCATTTTATCGTGTTCCATTTTCAGTGAGGAATAAACTGGATTAGAGGAACTGGTGTTGGCTGTTTGCTATATGTGTATATGTATATATATATATGTACACACACACACCCCATTATTCTACTGGACACTTGAAGATGAAGATAACTTTTATTGGTCCCATGCACAGTGGGGAAATGTCAGTGTTGCATCACCGGTTACAAAATGTTAGGAATGAGGAGCACACACCTCAAGATAAAAGAACATCTCTAACTTTAGCATAATAAAGAAGTATAAAAGACTACATACTAGTGCAAGGGTCTCCAACCTTTTGGTGTTAGCTTTATACAACATAAGAGGAAGAGAGCTACTTAATGATCTATAAAATAAATCCATGTAATTACTGCACTAAAAAGAATATATACCATATTACTGTAGAACCATATATTTATTCTTACAATAGATGTTGTGACTCAATGTATTAATTCAAGATCATGTGTTAAATTCTAATTCCTTTCGGGAGGTACCTGAAAGGGGCTGGCGAGCTACTGAGCTCCTGAACCGCAGGTCGGAGACCCATGTTTCAGAGCATGAATATATAGTTGTGTGTTTTCATCTGTAGCAGCACGAGGCTCTGGGACAGAACACATCCTGACATGTGTTCAGTCATGGTCCTCAGTTATAGTATGTCCTCATCAGGTACAGTCTCCTCAGCAGTAGAGCCTCCTCAGCAGTAGAGCCTCCTCAGCAGTAGAGCCTCCTCAGCAGTAGAGCCTCCTCAGCAGGTAGAACCTCCGCAGCAGTAGAGCGTCCGCAGCAGTAGAACCTCCTCAGCAGTAGAGCCTCCTCAGCAGGTAGAACCTCCGCAGCAGTAGAGCGTCCGCAGCAGTAGAACCTCCTCAGCAGTAGAACCTCCTCAGCAGGTAGAACCTCCGCAGCAGTAGAGCGTCCGCAGCAGTAGAACCTCCGCAGCAGTAGAACCTCGGCAGCAGGTAGCGCTTGTCTGCTTTATGAGGCTAATAAAAGCTTCAAATCGACTATGGCTCAAAACAATACAAATAAACTGTATAAATAAAATCCGGGTTAACTTGTTGTGTCGAACCTTCACTAACTTTCCATCATTCTATAATTCTAATATATTTAACATTTTACACCTTAGAAGTGTATGCTGATTTTTATTATGCCTTACTCTTTTCTCTATTCTTTACCTCTCTTTTCTGACTGATGCACCGAACCAAAGCAATTTCCTAGTCTGTGACTTCTGTTACTTACATGGCAATAAAAATGATTCTGATTCTGATCAGCGTTAGTGCAGGCGGCTGCAGTTCTGCGTCGCAACAGCAGGTGGCGCCCCTCTCCCCGCTGAGACCCTCCTGCTGTTTTTATTTTGTTTTCATGTTTAATGCACGTGTCTGCGGCTTCACCAGTGTTTTCATGTCTTATTTATGCTTTAATCCGTGTTCCTCATGTTTGATGTTTTATTGAGAATCAGACTCTGGAGCAGAGTCCCACTTCCACACTGCAGCTGGAACCAGATTCAAGATGATCATGTCTGTGATCCCTCTGGTCTCTCTCTGGTCTCTCTCTGGTCTCATTCTGGTCTCTTTCCCTGCTCTGTACTTTACCCCATTCTCGTTAGTGGCTGTGTGAATGTATGGTTCAATTACATTTAGCATAGTATTCTTTCACTTAAAACAACTTTGTGGTGTGGTCTGATTCACAACATCTTACTTAACACGCATCTTTCTTTTGGACAAACTACATGTGTTGTTTATCATTGTATCATTGAGAGAGGGAGAGGGAGAGAGAGAGGGAGAGAGAGGGAGAGAGAGGGAGAGAGAGAGAGAGAGGGAGAGAGGGAGAGGGAGAGAGAGGGAGAGAGAGGGAGAGAGAGGGAGAGAGAGGGAGAGAGAGGGAGAGAGGGAGAGAGGGAGAGGGAGAGAGAGAGAGAGGGAGAGAGAGAGAGAGAGCCCACACCATCACGTGCTGCTTCCAAACACTTCAGACCGGGAGAGTGGGGTCTGTGCCTCCGCTGTGCATGCTGCTGTCTGTGGGCTGACATCCAGGTCATCCGTGCGATCTTCTATCTTCTCCCGGAGACGAGGCACCAGGAGTGACCGGTGCATCTGCAGCTGTCATCCCGGGCTGCACACCTTCCAAGACTCTTCAGCACATTTCTACCCGCGTGTCAAGCTTCTCTTCCGGCTCACAGTCATCCAGGACACTTCGCTTCATCTCTCCCCCGCGCATCAACCTCTTATTTTGGCTTCTCCTCATCCCTGTTCTAATATCAACCATCCAGGAGCGTTTCTATCCGCGCCCCAAGCCCTATACTCCGCTGAGAACCATCTAGGGGACCCACGCACCTCCTGTACCTGCTCACACTGCTCTTATCCCGGGTTCACACCTGCAGGAGACGGGTCCATCTCCAAAGCTCCAGCCCGGGCGTCACAGCATCCAGGAGTCACCGCTGTGTCTGTGCATCTTTCCCCGTGATCAACTTTCCTCTCCCGGCGCTAGTCCTCCAGGCTGAAGCTGCATCGCTCCTCCCGCGCATCAAGCCTGTATCGCGGGTTCCCACCTCCCAGGACGCATCGCTGATTACTTACCCGCCTGACAACCTCTTTCGTCCAGGGGCCACCGAATCGCTTCAGCTCGAGGTAGGTGAGACTAATAATAACAATAATAATAATAATAATAATAAAAAGAAGCAATTTTTACGGGTATTTATGTCATTTCTAATACATTTAATCAATTTGCAGTGAGATAATTGTATGACCATTTGAGTTGACACATGTGCGTATACCACACATAGATACAGCAAGTTTATTTATATAGAACGATTCATACACAGGGAAACTGAAATATTAAAGCTGGGGTACGTAACTTTCAGACTACAACAACTATTTAGAATTTGTTTCAATATTTTAACGATCATAATGCCTCAAGGCAAAGTTATGTGTATAGCACAGTCTAACTGAAGTGAATATTTGCAGAAACAGATCAGTGAAATTAGAATCATATTTGAAAAGTCCTTTTGTGAAAACCTGATGTGTTTTACTGCCATACAGATAAAGTCTCGTAAACAAGACAGGTCTGTGGTCCGGTTTTAGTTTGACTTCCTGTTCTGTTCTGTTGATTGTCTGTCCTGCCCTCATCTGCTGCACCTGTGTCTCTGAGTGTCCTCATGTACCTGTGCTTCATGTACCTGTGCTTCATGTACCTGTGCTCCTCTCCACTTGTTGCTTGTCCTTTGTGCTTCCTGAGTTTCCTCATCCTTCATCTCACCTCACGACACTCACTGCTTCTCAAAGCCTTTCAAATGTTGAGGATTGTAGCCCTGTGTAAATAACTTCCAGTTGATAAAGTCACAGCGAGAAAAGGCACCGTCGAAAATACTAGATTTAATAAACAAACCTCAATAATAACAAAATCCAGAATATAACAGAAATATCAAACCACAAAGAAACAGGAGCACAGGGTTTAAATACACAGATAGTTACAGAGAGAGGGAGGTGTAGACAGAGGTGAGGGAGGTGCAGACAGAGGTGAGGGAGGTGCAGACAGAGGTGAGGGAGGTGTAGACAGAGGTGAGGGAGGTGTAGACAGAGGTGAGGGAGGTGCAGACAGAGGTGAGGGAGGTGCAGACAGAGGTGAGGGAGGTGTAGACAGAGGTGAGGGAGGTGCAGACAGAGGTGAGGGAGGTGCAGACAGTTGAGGGAGGTGCAGACAGTTGAGGGAGGTGCAGACAGAGATGAGGGAGGTGCAGACAGAGGTGAGGGAGGTGCAGACAGAGGTGAGGGAGGTGCAGACAGAGGTGAGGGAGGTGCAGACAGTTGAGGGAGGTGCAGACAGTTGAGGGAGGTGCAGACAGAGATGAGGGAGGTGCAGACAGAGGTGAGGGAGGTGCAGACAGAGGTGAGGGAGGTGCAGACAGAGATGAGGGAGGGGCAGACAGGTGGGAGAGCCCAGGTGATCCATGATGGCGTCCTGTTCAAATCCATGGCTTGTGCTCAGTAGTGCATGGAACAGAAAGATTTACTAAAATCGCAATTTCTATTTGGTTGCGATGATTGTCACAGTCCTAGTGTAAAACATGCCATGTGTTCGGCACATGTTAAGTGTCTGATTTGAGAGTGGATGGAGCCAAACACAAGCGCAGGTCTGAGAGAACAGAGGTGAGTGTGAAGTTACAGGTGTACCTCAGGGCTCTGTTCTGGGCCCTTTGTTATTGTCACACTGTGTTGTTACCTGGAGATAAACCTGGTGTTTTTCCTGTTACAGCACAGCGTGCGGAGCTGGGACCATGCGGTGACAGGGCAGGCCTCCCCGCGGTGCACTGCCCCAGGGCGGATGAAGCCGGGGGGGATGAAGCGCGCCTGCAGGAGGGTCGCAGTGGGGCTGGTGCTGCTGGTGTGGCTGGGAGCGCTGGTCTATCTGCTGGTGCTGAGCCGCAGGAGACTTCCAGAGCTGAATGAGGGAGGACCCAGCGCGGAGAGACAGGTGAGGGGCGGAGCCTAGGGCAGAGAGGGGAGGAGCCTAGAGCAAACACACAAGTCCATACTAATGGCCGATGGCACAGACTGGTTGCCTCGTTTCTGTCAGTGTGCCCCAGAGCAGCTGTGGCTACAGTAATAGTTCATCACCACTAGGTGAGGACTGAAATTCTAGAAAAGTGTTATTATTATTATTATTATTATATTAGAAATTATTTATGGAGCGCTTGCAACACGTAGGCAAACTGTACTTAAACTATTCTCTGGTTTGATCAAAGTAGAATATGGTTTAAATGGTCTGAGGAGACAGTGAGGAGCAGACAGTGAGGAGGAGACAGTGAGGAGCAGACAGTGAGGAGCAGACAGTGAGGAGGAGACAGTGAGGAGCAGACAGTGAGGAGGAGACAGCGAGGAGGAGACAGTGAGGAGGAGACAGTGAGGAGGAGACAGTGAGGAGCAGACAGTGAGGAGCAGACAGTGAGGAGGAGACAGTGAGGAGGAGACAGTGAGGAGCAGACAGTGAGGAGCAGACAGTGAGGAGGAGACAGTGAGGAGGAGACAGTGAGGAGCAGACAGTGAGGAGGAGACAGTGAGGAGGAGACAGTGAGGAGCAGACAGTGAGGAGCAGACAGTGAGGAGGAGACTGTGAGGAGGAGACCGTGAGGAGGAGACAGTGAGGAGGAGCCAGTGAGGAGGAGACAGTGAGGAGCAGACAGTGAGGAGCAGACAGTGAGGAGGAGACGGTGAGGAGGAGACCGTGAGGAGGAGACAATGAGGAGCAGACAGTGAGGAGGAGACAGTGAGGAGGAGACAGTGAGGAGGAGACAGTGAGGAGGAGACAGTGAGGAGCAGACAGTGAGGAGGAGACTGTGAGGAGGAGACCGTGAGGAGGAGACAGTGAGGAGGAGACAGTGAGGAGGAGACAGTGAGGAGGAGACAGTGAGGAGGAGACAGTGAGGAGCAGACAGTGAGGAGGAGACTGTGAGGAGGAGACACCTGTGCACTCTTCTCTCTCTCTCTCTCTCTGCTCCCTTTCTCTCTCTCTCTCTCTCTGCTCTCTCTCTCCCTTTCTCTCTCTCTCTCTCTGCTCCCTTTCTCTCTCTCTCTCTCTGCTCTCTCTCTCCCTTTCTCTCTCTCTCTCTCTCTGCTCCCTTTCTCTCTCTCTCTCTCTCTGCTCCCTTTCTCTCTCTCTCTCTCTCTGCTCCCTTTCTCTCTCTCTCTCTCTCTCTCTGCTCCCTTTCTCTCTCTCTCTGCTCTCTCTCTCCCTTTCTCTCTCTCTCTCTCTGCTCCCTTTCTCTCTCTCTCTCTCTGCTCTCTCTCTCCCTTTCTCTCTCTCTGCTCCCTTTCTCTCTCTCTCTCTGCTCCCTTTCTCTCTCTCTCTCTCTCTCTGCTCCCTTTCTCTCTCTCTCTCTTTGCTGCTGCTCACATGTGGCTCTAACACATTACAGTACTCTGCAGAATGACAGCGTGACGAGCCGCGGAGCTGTGTTTGGTGGAATGAAGCTCAGAGTCAGAGTTTAGGCTGTTGCACGCGCTGCTGTTCAAGATGTAAAAAATATGTTGGAAAGTCATATTACTCCGTGTGGATGAGAAACTTCCAGAGGTCTCGCTCTCTGGTCTCCCGTCTCTCTCTCTTCTCTCTCTCTCCTCTCTCTCCCCTCTCTCTCCCCTCTCTCTCTCTTTCTCTCTCTCCTCTCTCTCCCCCCTCTCTCTCTTCTCTCTCTCCTCTCTCTCTCCTCACATCTGTCACTCCTCGGGGCCCATCTCTGCTTCCTTTCCGTCTCCAGTTCCTCCAGTTTTGTTGATAATCCCAGTTTGGGCATCTGCCACTGCTGCTACTACTGCTGCTGCTGTCTCTGCTACTGCTGCTGCTGTCTCTGCTGCTACTCCTGCTGCTACTCCTGCTGCTACTCCTGCTGCTACTACTGCTGCTGTCTCTGCTGCTGCTGTCTCTGCTGCTGCTGAGACTCAAACACGACTTCATTTACTGCTGTATTGTCCGCTCGGAGCCCATCAGGCTCAGTATTGTTGTGGAAGTCGCTCGTAATAAACACATGGAGCTGAGCCAGAGACTGAGACGCTGCTGGAGAAGTGTGGCTCCAGCTTTGTGTACACACTACTACTACTAATACTACTACTACTAATACTACTGCTGTTACTACTACTACTGCTACTGCTGCTGCTGCTGCTGCTGCTGCTGCTGCTGCTGCTCCTCTGTATCTTCTCTGTGATCTCCTCCTTGTTGCTCCTGAATTGAACGATCCATCATGTTTATGGAGCTGTAGTGACGTCAGGACAAACAGAGGACAGTGTTCTGAAACCACAGACACTGTCATCGGACTGAAGACCATCGGACTGAAGACCATCGGACTGAAGATCATCGGACTGAAGACCATCGGACTGAAGACCATCGGACTGAAGACCATTGGACTGAAGGCCTGCCTCATTCCAGTATCCATTCATTTAGTTTATTATGCCTTTTTATTGTATTTAGTATTTTGTTGTTGAATTTCTATCAGGACTCAGGCTAAAGATCCAGGACTGAGACTGAAGATCCAGGACTGAGGCTGTAGACCCAGGACTGAGGCTGTAGACCCAGGACTGAGGCTGTAGATCCAGGACTGAGGCTGTAGATCCAGGACTGAGGCTGTAGACCCAGGACTGAGGCTGTAGATCCAGGACTGAGGCTGTAGACCCAGGACTGAGGCTGTAGATCCAGGACTGAGGCTGTAGACCCAGGACTGAGGCTGTAGATCCAGGACTGAGGCTGTAGACCCAGGACTGAGGCTGTAGACCCAGGACTGAGGCTGTAGATCCAGGACTGAGGCTGTAGATCCAGGACTGAGGCTGTAGATCCAGGACTGAGACTGTAGATCCAGGACTGAGACTGTAGACCCAGGACTGAGGCTGTAGACCCAGGACTGAGGCTGTAGATCCAGGACTGAGGCTGTAGATCCAGGACTGCTGTATGTGTGTATGTGATGTCACATTGATATTCTGCGCTGAGCTGTGATTGGATAAGCCTTCCTGGGGGCGTGTCCTGTGGGAATAGCTCTGTTTGTTGCAAAGTGCAGTCGCTGAATAACAACGAGAGCAAGCTTCACATCTGACTTTGAAAATCCACGGTTGCTCCTCAGACCTGCAGCTGTGTTTGGATCCATCCATGCTGATACGAATGGACACAAGCCCACAGCCACTGGGCGCCATATAAATAAACATTACTCTCATTTTAAAACATGAAAGTAAATCCTCACATTTTTGTCTCAGACTTAAACGTAAAACACATGGAGGGCACAAGTAAATGAATCAAATAAGTCATTAAATAAACATACAAGACATCACCTCCTACTACAGAAGATCACATTTAAAATCATTTTTTAAAGAAGTTATTTGCAAATGATGGAAAATAATCATTCAGTCAATAAGAGAAGTCCAGCTCAATACTTTGTCCTATTCCCCTTGTTGGTGATGACACAGGTCAATCGTTTCCTGTAATTCTGCACAAGGGTTTCACACACTGTTGCTGGTATTTTGGCCCATTCCTCCTGCAGGTCTAGTCTAGAGCTGTGATGTTTTGGGGCAACACAGACGTTCAAATTCCTCCACACATTTCCTCTGGGACTGAGATCTGAGACTGAGGCTCCATGGGACCTGTGTGTTTGGGATCAGTGTCGAGCTGAAAGACCACGGTTCATCTTCAAGGCCCTCGCTGCTGACGGGAGCAGGTTTTCACTCCAAACCTCACGGCACCGGGCCCCATTCATTCTTTCCTTTACACTGATCGATCGTCCTGGTCCCTTTGCAGCGCTTTGTAATGTACAGTGATTATTTAGTGATTCTTTTCTTGTTTTGTTCATCACTTTTGAGTTGCAATGTGTATGATCTGTGCCATACAAAAAAACTTGCCTCCCCTATTGTAGCTTCTGTACACAAACACAGTCCAAGCCGAAGTGTCCCGGTCCAGGCCTCGCTCTCGCTCCTCCGTGATGCGCATCTTGGCTCTCATTTCAGCGCGCCGCTTGCGACCCTCCGATAACAAAAGCCGAGCCACACGAGCTAATTGGCAAAGTGCAGATAAAGGGATTAGCTGTGAATTATGTGCGCGGCGTTAGCCATAGCCGCGGTTCCGGATGTGCGCCATGTTCGTGCGCACCGCGGCTAATCCCCCGTTCACCTGCGCGGGCGCCGCCAGCGGGAGATTAGCTTTTGTTGCTCCTGCAGCTCAAGACGCCGAGCTGCAATCAGGATCAGGGAGTAGTTTTACACAGAAACAGAGTAAAGGAATGAAAGGACTGAAGCAGGACTAAAACAGGACTAAAGCAGGACTAAAGCAGGACTAAAGCTGGACCAAAGCAGGATTAAAGCAGGACTAAAACAGGTCTACTGCAGGACTAAAGCGGGACTAAAACAGATCTAAAGAAGGACTGAAGCAGGACTGAAGCAGGACCAAAGCAGGACTAAAACAGGACTAAAACAGGACTAAAACAAGACCAAAGCAGGACTAAAACATGTCTAAGGTAGGTCTAAAACAGGGCTAAAACAGGTCTAAAGTAGGTCTAAAACAGGACTAAAACAACACTAAAGCAGGATTAAAGCATGTCAAAAACAGGACTAGAACAGGTCTAAAGTAGGTCTAAAACAGGAGCAGGCCTGAAACTCCCTGAAATCTCCCTGTTCCTGCTCGTCCTTCACACCACACTGGTCTCATCACGTTGGAGGCGGGCGTGTCGTAAAAATGAAATTAAACTTTGTCTCATTAATAAAACCATCACTTTAACAAGTTTCTCTTTTTAATTTGACCTAAAACAGTCTCATACAGTGTTGTAAGACTTAACGGACAAAACCAGGTCTAAAGTAGGTCCGAACCAAGTCTAAACTAAGTCTATTCAGGCCATGACTCAGAGGTCAGAGTCTGATGTGAGAAGAGCCAACAGCTGTCACATGCAGAGAATCACAGTAAAGCAGGTCTAAAGCAGGTCTAAAGCAGGTCTGAAGCAGGTCTAAAGCAGGTCTAAAGCAGGTCTGAAGCAGGTCTAAAGCAGGTCTAAAGCAGGTCTAAAGCAGGTCTAAAGCAGGTCTAAAGCAGGTCTGAAGCAGGTCTGAAGCAGGTCTAAAGGAGGTCTAAAGCAGGTCTAAAGCAGGTCTAAAGCAGGTCTAAAGCAGGTCTAAAGCCGGTCTAAAGCAGGTCTAAAGCAGGTCTAAAGCAGGTCTAAAGCAGGTCTAAAGCAGGTCTAAAGCAGGTCTAAAGCAGGTCTAAAGCAGGTCTAAAGCAGGTCTAAAGCATGTCTAACACAGGTCTAAATCAGGTCTAAAGCATGTCTAAAGCAGGTCTAAAGCAGGTCTAAAGCAGGTCTAAAGCAGGTCTAAAGCAGGACTAAAGCAGGTCTAAAGCAGGTCTAAAGCAGGTCTAAAGCAGGTCTAAAGCAGATCTAAAGCAGGTCTAAAGCAGGTCTAAAGCAGGACTAAAGCAGGTCTAAAGCAGGTCTAAAGCAGGTCTAAAGCAGGTCTAAAGCAGGTCTAAAGCCGGTCTAAAAGCCGGTCTAAAGCCGGTCTAAAGCCGGTCTAAAGCCGGTCTAAAGCAGGTCTAAAGCAGGTCTAAAGCAGGTCTAAAGCAGGTCTAAAGCAGGTCTAAAGCAGGACTATAGCAGGTCTAAAGCAGGTCTCAAGCAGGTCTCAAGCAGGACCTGCTTGAGACCTGCTTGAGCAGGTCTAAAGCAGGTCTAAAGCAGGTCTAAAGCAGGACTATAGCAGGTCTAAAGCAGGTCTAAAGCAGGTCTAAAGCAGGACTATAGCAGGTCTAAAGCAGGTCTCAAGCAGGTCTAAAGCAGGTCTAAAGCAGGTCTAAAGCAGATCTAAAGCAGGTCTAAAGCAGTTCTAAAGCAGGACTAAAGCAGGTCTAAAGCAGGTCTAAAGCAGGTCTAAAGCAGGTCTATAGCAGGTCTAAAGCAGGTCTCAAGCAGGTTTAGACCACATCTGTGAGGTCCAGGTGGCTCATTACACCTGTCCTCATTCATCTCATCATGTTTTTGAGCCTGAATATTAAAACACAAAAGTGACACATGAGGAAACATCACATTCTGCAGAGTGAACCTGTGGAGGTGAAATCTGCAACACTCCTCCTGCTGCTGCTTTTAGGCTTTAAATATATTTAAGCACAAACATCTAAATATTATTATCCAGAATGTGTGAACAGGTGTGGGGTACATATATTTTTGCTGGGTTTTGGTTTTTGGGGCATAGCTTTGACCTCCGCCTGACACTTCATCTCAGTCTGCTGCAGGAGAAAGGCCTGATTCATGTTTGTAATATGTTTCATAGTTATTAGTTAGTTAATGAGACATATTGTTATGTTTACCAAATGTTATGGCATTTCTATTTTAAGTATCTGAAAGGTTCACTGTCTAACATAGCAACAGTGTGTTAGCTTGCCTCTAAGCTAGCTGCTGGTGATGATGCAGCATTTTACTTTTTGAACTGCACTGTAGTTTTATTTCTGCCTATGATGTCAACGGTATGTATGAAACCCAGTATAGTGAGAAATTTAGCAAGAAATAGTCATGAATGTAATGGTGTAAAGTAGACATTTCTTTAAAAATGTTTTTTACCGTTAGCATTAGCGTTCACTCTCTGGAGCTCTTCTCAGCAGCTGGACCATAGACTGTAAATATTAACAGTAGTCATGCCTATCTCCACCGTTTCAACTAATGTGCCATCACTTTTGGCTTCTATGGACTTTTTCAAAATGACCGCGGGTCAGGAAAATGTTGAATAATCCATTTGCGCTTTAGCCAGCATGAGCCCCATTCATTTAACGAGTGCATTCTGAAATCCACAGAGGCTTAACCAGAATGGTCATAATAAATAATACTCCCCTCACTGCTTCGTCCTGCTTTTGACCTGCTTTAGTACTACTTAAGGTCTGCTTTAGTCCTGCTTTAGTCCTGCTTTAGTCCTGCTTTAGTCCTACTTTAGTCCTGCTTTAGTCCTGCTTTAGTCCTGCTTTAGTCCTGCTTTATTCCTGCTTTATTCCTGCTTTAGTCCTGCTTTAGTCCTGCTTTAGTCCTACTCTAGTCCTACTTTAGTCCTACTTTAGTCCTGCTTTAGTCCTGCTTTAGTCCTACTTTAGTCCTGCTTTAGTCCTGCTTTAGTCCTGCTTTATTCCTGCTTTAGTCCTGCTTTAGTCCTGCTTTAGCCCTACTCTAGTCCTACTCTAGTCCTACTTTAGTCCTGCTTTAGTCCTGCTTTAGTCCTGCTTTAGTCCTGCTTTAGTCCTGCTTTAGTCCTGCTTTAGTCCTGCTTTAGTCCTGCTTTAGTCCTGCTTTAGTCCTGCTTTAGTCCTGCTTTAGTCCTGCTTTAGTCCTGCTTTAGTCCTGCTTTAGTCCTGCTTTAGTCCTGCTTTAGTCCTACTTTAGTCCTGCTTTAGTCC